ATATGAAACCTACTTTGTATGAATAAGAACAATAAATAAAAATCTTAACTTTGTATTTTCATTCATTTTGTTTGGATTTATATTCATGTTACTGTAACTTAGTAGTGTGTGGTACTGATATCAACAGATATAAGTAATAGTATGTGTTATATCCGAGCGAAGATTAAATCACGAGTAACCTCTGAGCCAAATGAATTGACTAATATTATCTCTATATATTCTTATGATATAACTATTCAATAATCAGATTATGTATATCTATATTCCCATTATTATAAGCTTCATTTTGACCTATATATGATTATTGTACGATTTACGGTTCTTAAGCTATGTTCAGTTTATTGACTACGGCCTCCCACGTTTACAGCCACTTTTTGGCTTTATTGTGTATGAATGTTATTTCCTATTTTATGGTGCGCTGCGGTCTGTTTGATTGATATATAAACTCAGTATGTCTGAAATAAATGATTCGATTCGCATAGTGGAAGCTGGTATTGGTGTTCTGGACTCAAGTCGACGAGCTAGGTGGACATAGGACCAATAAGGAAGCTAGATTGCCCATACCGGTCGAACGTCATTGGTTTGGCACAGTGCTAAGATTGTATAAGTCGTATTTTGATTGATGGATAAATCACGTGATAAGAAGCCGGACATAAAGTCATAACAGTATGTATTCATCATCAGTCGAAAGTGAAATGCCTGGAGGTGACAGAAAGTTAAGAAGATCGAAGAAAAGAAGATGAGAACAAAGAATGATTGATATGGAAACGAAAGAACAATGAAGTATGAGACAATTGATTGACATTGTGCAAACGAAGTATTTACTGTATAGTGGTTCTCAGATTTTACTAAGATGTTCTATAATTTTGTGTCTACATACATTTGATTGTCCTCACTTGTGTTCTTGTTCACTATACCTTGTCTCTATTAAAATAGAGTTAAAAGGCAGTAGTCAGAATCAAAGTTTAACCCGTTAGGAGCGAAGAATAAGGGTTCTGGCTCCGATCTCGGGTACCTTTGCACTATTGAGGAATTCTACATTAGAAAAACAAAGATTTTCAAGGATTTCCACCCCCCCCAGTAGTTATCTAACTAAGGTCAGTTGCATACAACCTAAAATTATCGATATAATCACTAATAAATATTTAGCATTCCATTGCAACAATTGAGAACAAGATCAATAAACATCTTCAGAAATTTTTGAAGGAGCTAATTGATCATTTAACTTACGACAATCTGAAGGCAAAAAGATCATGACTGCTTTTTGAAGTTCATAAATACAACTTTCTGTTAAGATCTATTATTTCTATTGGTGAACTCATCATATAAGTTGGTTCCGTTGTAAGCCGAATTATTAAAAATAATTCTTAGAAAAACTCTTGGCAAATAGTTTTAAAGGCGCATTTCAGTTTTCAAAAAAGGAGCAATTGAATGTATCAGGTATATTTATAGTATCTTTTTTTATGTGTTCATTATTTACTTGTGACATTATTGGAACTTAAGCAGCTTTTGTTTTATCAGCTACAAGAGGGGTATAGTCAAAACGCTCTTCAATAGAGCTAGGACGTTATCCTCAAAAGGCAAAATAAGTGAGGAACTGGCTATTCTGGAAAACCACTTCACAAAAAACGGATACTCGAATAGATTTATTACAAGATATGGAAAAAATATCCCAAAGATGGTGAATAACCAACTGTTGAAAAGAAATCTGTCTTCATCCGCCTTCCGTTCAAGGGGGATGACGTGCGTATTGTCTTAATTCACAAGCACTATAAGCGTTTTGTTTTAAACAATGGGAAGATTCAAGTAAACAATACGAAGTGAGTTTTTAACTCCACCCCATTGCACAAGCAAGTGGCTATCAGGACTGAGTGGATAGCGTGATGGCGTTCGAAGCGAACAGTACTGGGTTTGAGTCGCAGAGTGAACACCAGCTAGGAGATGCAGGCACATCCAGCTGACGAGTCCTAGATAGGACGAAACGCGCGTCTTGGATTCCTCTGCTACTTACTTACGCCTGTTACTCCTCGTGAAGGAGCATAGACCGATCATCAGCATTCTCCATCCAACAGTTGGACAATGGCCTTTTCCTCTGCTAGCCACTGTCCAATTGTTTATTTTGCATAAAAATATCAGCTACTTATGAGTAGCCTAATTGCAATTGCGAAAAAACGGGCCACGTGACTAGACTTTATATAGTGGCTGAAGTCAAGAAAACCACTACTGCGTTTCTTGATTGTTCTGTTCAATTTTTGTTTCAGAAAATATGATAAAAATATCAGTAAATACATAATATTGACTTTTATTGTGAACAACAATAGCAATAGTAACAATGAATCTCAGGAAAAATATGTCAACACAAAAATATGATAATGATAAGGCAAGTAAATTGAATGATGCAAGTAGGGAAGGAGAAAAAAAACAAACAAACGATTAACTAATTAATTAATTAATGATACCCATAGAAACTGGCAACCTGTTGTTTTCTAGCGAAAAAAAAACAAACAAACAACGGTGACAATGCAGTGAAAAGACTTGAAACTCACACACAAGGGAGGGAGTGGGCAAGGACACAGGCTATTCTGGACACACACAAACAGTATGAGTGACAGAAAAACATGGCGCACAATAAGAAGGCAATAATGAAAAGTTATGTATATGATAGAATTTATCATTTACTGCCTCTTTTTTTGAACATTGGACAAATAAATCTGTTGACTTGAAAAGAATATAAACAATAATGACAAGAAATAAACACATAGAAAGTAAAATTGTTTGCTGTTTTTAAAATGGACATTTCATGGAAACCAATACACGTTATTATTATTATTATGATTATTATCTAGAATAAAATGAATATACAAATAAATCTTATACATTGATTAATTAGATTGAAAGAAACAACACTGTAAATTATTACATCTGATACCGGTGTATAGAGCAGCCTGGCAACAGGATTATTCTTATTTATATAATAATAAACACATTTGATAAACAAGAAAATACATTTCAACAAGGGGGGAAAACTTTCACATTTGCACACAACTGAAGGATGATTCCATATATATAATCATAGAAACTATTCTTGTTCATTTATTCATTCCATAATCAAAATTCATGCTTTAAATACAATAATATTGTTTCTTCTATTATAAAGAAAAGTTAAAATATACAAATGATCATTGGGGTATATTGCCATGTCAACATAGAAACTATCTGTAATGTAATAAGTGTTTAATGAATCTAATAATGATTAAGATAAGACAAATGATATAGAATAAGTAAAATTTCAATAAAACTTATCTATTTATGATTTCTGGTCAATATTCAAAAAAAAAGAAGAGAAGAATCTATGAAACAAACATTTTTAAACCGGTTATTCACTGATCAGTATATCTGTATATGATGATTAGGTGGCACATATCGTCGTCGTCGTCGTCATTCACTGTCGTATGCATAAGTCATTGAATATTATTTTGTTTAGAAAAAAAGGATATAACCTATACACAACATACATTTGTTTAAATTGATACCACAAAGCGGGAATAAAAATTAAAAAAAGGAAGAAAAGTCAATATATAAATAAATACAAAAACGAAACCAAAGTGCTCGCGGGTTCACATACGTGCTCGCGCGCGCACACGCACACACACACACGTATAATAGGCAAGCAAAGTAGTTAAAAGATTATTATTATTATTTCTTCTTCTAAAAACAAAATAGGCGCTTTTTTGTTTCTTATTTGAATATCTGTTTAAAACAAGACAAAAAATCTAAGGAATATTAGTTATTTCCCTTAACAACAACTGCAACAACAACAAAAGAAATTTAAGCAGATTACGAAGGAATAACATTTCATCAATTAGAAAACAAAAGTACAATGCGATGTAAACGATAATGAATCTAATGAATATGATAAATATCAAGATTATGACAAGAAAATATAATCAAAATGAATGATAAAGTTTTTGATGGTAACTAATTATACTACTTATAATAGTTCAAAAGTTAATGCTGAATAATACAGAAAATGGATATATATTTCTAATATTAATTGTAAAGATAATGATGTTGATATTATCCATTATGTTGATAAGCAAATAAAAATGAGAAAAAAAAATAGCTTCATTTATTTATTTTACAACCTGTCCAATCTAGGCATACAAAGAAAAGAGTGACAGTAGGATTTATCAGGTACAAACAAATTATGTAAAGAGAATATGTACCGAAAAAAAAAGATCAGTCTATGGAGTGTACACAAAACCATACAAAAACAACTCCCCACTCATCAACTATTGACTTCTATCAATCTAATGATTTTCTAATAAAAATGAGAATATGAAACAATAGAACGGAAATAATTAGAAAACAGTAACGACAAATGATAAACAATAGAAACGATTCTTTTTAAAAAAAAACAACTTCACAGGATAGAAATATAATTCAGATAGGTTATTGTCGTTTGATTAAAAAAGAAACAAAAAAGGATTCTGATAGTAATACGTTCCTCTTCAAATGTATCACAAATATATCACACTGAAATAAATTTCCTTTATTTTTTTTCTTTTAACTACTGATATCCGAAAGAGTAGTATAAATAAAATTGATTAAATGTATTGACGACGTGACTTATTATTGGTGATAATTTTATCACTGTGAGTTTTCATATGAGCATTACGTGATTTGATTTTATTGAAAGATTTATTGCATATATGACATGTATAAATTGAATGTTTTATATCACTCAACGATGTAGAAGTAAATGTTGATGATACAGTGGAAGTGAACGTAGTAGTAGTGGTGGTGACAGTAGATAAGCAACTCGTAGAGAGGACAACGACAGAATTAGCTGATGTTTGGCTTGATGATGATGGTGATAAGGACGAGTTAGATGAAGATGTAAATACAGAATGTGAAGAGATGACAGCATTAGATGTTGCAGTCATTACAACAGAAGTCGTAGTAGTATTATACTTCGATAACGATCCAATTGATGTAGTCTAATAAATGGGGAAAGACTGTTCAAATTAAGTAAATATTAGAAAAAAATAAGTCTCATAAATGTGAAAACAATGAACTAATTATTATTATTATTAAGTGATTTTATTTTCAGAAAACAATTTAACCAGTTAAAAGCTGATTGAGTGCTAGACATATTTCAATCGTTGATTCATCCTGGTATTCTTTAGTAGCAGACATGATTATCAATTTACGTTTTGGTGTAAAATATTGTCGTTCAAAAAGATACAATCAATCGATATTCTTTGATGGTGATTACTGAATTTATAAAAACGTTTTCTCTAAGCTGGATTGTTTGATTGTAAAGTTTTCATTATCCTTTTAGACAACACTATCGGGAAATACTTTTTAGAGAATGCGACACCTGCAGCCCTAGTTACAAATATCTTCTAACGAATAGTAATTTACAACTTATAAGATTTTTGTGTGATGTCTCACACTTACTAAGTCTTCTATAGTCCGTGTGACATTTCAACAAACCTATCCGAATCTGAGTATGTAGAGTAGTGTCAATTGAAGTAGGCCGTAGATATTCGCCAAAAGTAACCAAATGAGCTATACAGATAAAACATTCAGAATTGTTAAGCATAAAAAACTAGAAATGATTGAATTATTTGTTGTCCGTATAATCGATCAAAATTTACGTCAGTGTTAGATCTTCCCCCCCCCCACAAAAAAAACTTAAGAGATAGATATGAAGATGATCAGATAAAGTCATAATGGATAAGTGACATTGCTTATTCTTGTTCAGACAACTATAGTATAAAGTATAACGAAATGCTTTAAACTTTTGGTGATATAAAAAAATGATGCTTGGAATCTTCTAGAAGACTCGAAATTCCTCGGTTTTTATTTTCAAGTTGTTTTCGGCTGACTATCCGTAGAACATAGTTGGATCTATTTGTGCATCTAACCGATAAATTTTGCGCGAAAACTCAAGGGATTCATTCATAAATTATAGTCTCGCCGTAGAACTTTAGTCCTCCACTCCTTTTCACATGAAGAAGAGTAAAGATAGAGATTTATTTAAAGAGATATTTTTCTTTGACGAAGGTATGTGTCGAAACCACTTTATTCATTGTGGTCCTTAACAGTACTTCAGGGTCGAACATTCACATGATAAAAGAAACACTGAATATGTGAGATATAACACAATTAAAATGAATTTGTCAGAAATAATTCCATGAAAAGTTGAAGCGTGCTCATACCCATGAACGTATTTCCTCCTCGAAGTAACTACGTAAATATGTCACTGCAAGTACAAAAACCTCAGTTTCAATCACCAAAACGGAGCAACTATAAAAATTAATTATTTGCAGAGAATATACACAATAATAATTGACCGTTGATTAAGATGAAATTCCACAAGCCCTCAAACACCATGACCATAGTCTCTATCAACTATTCCGATCTTAAAAAAAAAACGACTCATCATGTTGCAACCAACTATTTTAAGCAAAGATGGGTAATGTCGAGTAGTGGAATCCTACTTGTGACTCGCCAGCTAAGTTTACTTGCATTCCAGAGTTAATGTCCGCACTGGGATGCAGGTAAATCCAGCTGAACAGTCCTAAATGGGACGAAAAACGCATCCATGGATTCTACTGCTGCTAGCCACCATCCATCTTTGCTTAGAATGCTTGTGAATTAAGGCAATATCGAGCCAATACGCACAGTATGCACATATTTTAATAAGAGACCGACCATTGAAGTCCTAAAAATCAATGGGAAGATCCAAGTAAACAATACCAAGTGAATTTAACCAGTTATTTTATTTCAAAATATAACTTGATTATTCTCTCTTTCATGATCATGTTTTAGATTTGTGTCATACTCTTCAAGGTTCATTTATTATGAATGAGGATATTCCCATTTGATTAACATTAGTATACTGCTTTCTGATATACAGTACATCTTGTAATTTGTTGTTCATATAACTCAAGGATCCACTACTTCCTCTCGAATAACACTGCAACAGAACTATTTAACTGGTATTATTGAACTACTTAATCGCTATTCAGTAGTATTTTGAAACGTCAATTCAATCAGTAGATCAGGAAAAAAACATAAGAACAATAATGTTTTCGATAATATCTTCGGCGAGACTATAATTTATGGACGACCTTTGAGCGACAATAGACTAACCTTGAAAGTGTCCACCTAATAACTAGGACCAAATGAGGGTTATAAATAAGAATGAGGAATTCGGATTATGATTTACAGTTAGGAATTACATCCAGGGTTTTCATCACGAACTGACCATCAGCTAAAATGCCAAAACTCTATTTAACCAGATGGATGAGTGAATTTCGCGCCAAAATCCAAGACCTACTATCTTATACCTGATTGTTTCATCTATAAATTATAGTCTCACCATATCTCTTCACCAAGCTTTCGTTTAATATGTAGGAATATTGATATGAAGATTATTTAATCAATCATGGAAGTTTGCAATTAGACAATAAACAATGGCATAGCACCTAACACAAGTAATTAGAATAAGTAACAAGTACAAAATTATTAATAATGAGATGAAAGGTGAATTATGAAATAATAAGAACAAATATTAAAGGCTAAAAATCAATATTACACCATAGGAAGTAGGTCAAAACTTGAAAAAAAATTAGACATTACAAAATAAGCATTATTCAAACATTGTCAAAATTGCGTAATAAGATGTGTTCAATTAATGATTAGGTAATCAATAAACTATAAAAAGAGGTTAAGGAAAGCAATCAATAATGATGATAAGCCAAGTTGTATGTTAACGATTATATAGTCAAAGAATAGAAAGAATATTATACATTTCTTCTGAATACATAAGTTAGGGTCATAGATTCGAATCGTTGTAGGGTATATGTAAGAGATGAGATTGAACTCTTATGGGAAACAACGAATAAATACGACAGATCACTTGAAATGATTTGACTACATGATCTGTGTTGATCAAGTGTGATCAAATAAAGCTAAGTATTGTTTTTATTAAACTCTTTCACAAACAGAGATATTTATACATTCGTTGGTTAATTTGATTGGTTGTAAACGAATATACAGCTATCTCTCTATAGGAGCATCTGAATTTATAGATACACACTGAAGAGGTAAGTGCAAGTGAAGTATCCTTTATTTGGATAGATAATATCCGTGGACTATAAAATGACAACGTAAAATTAGCTGTGTACAGAGTACTTTTAACAATTCTCATTAGTTTTACTATGAAGAACAACGCTAGCTACATCTCTATTGAATTGTAGTTTAAAGGAACAGGGTTTTCAACAAGTTATCCCCCGCATACATATATATCTTGCTGTTTATTTTTTTCCAAGTTTGAATCTACTTCCTATATTGAAACATTGATTTCAGCCATTAAAATTCTTATGGCGAATAGTTTACCTGTTATTTCATTATCAATTTATATTCAGTTATGCAATCTGTTTCATTTTATCATCAACTCACAAACTTCTTTGGTTGATATATTACAGTAAAGCTTGATTAATATCTAATTGAAATCATCAAACTGCATCACGAGTCAAACCCTAACTTAGAATCCCTAAAGGCAAAAGCAAAAGAGGCAAATCGAAGAAATAATTGCGCCAACAATTGGAAACAGACATCAAAGAAATGAATAGCATTTGGATCCAACTGGAAAGAAGAACCCAGAACAGAGTCGGTTGGCTAATTCTGGTCTGTGACCTACGATCCACCATAGGTAACAGACGTAAGTAATATGTTTTATTCTAATTTAAAATATGGCAATTTCAAATTATTGCAGCAGATTTCAAGCAATTTCAGCATGTAGATAAATAACACCTTGTTGGTGAGTGTGAAATAGCAAGAAATCTAGGTCCAAAGTTTCCTGCCAATAAGTTATCAGACCTACAATGTTCTTTTATCAAAGGTAAGCGTTCATACGGTAACTATTATCAGTCAGAGAATCGCTGACAATACACTAGCTTTGTTTTACATTGCAGACTTACTAGACAATCAGAAAGTAAATTAATTCGAACACTGAATATGTAAGTTTGATAGAGATAAATAATAACTTCTATTCAGTAGTAGTAGTAGTAGTAATCATAACGATAATGACAATGGAAATCTTATCCTACTTACTTCATTGAAAACAATATCCATAAAATCATCATAGGAATTTTCCAAGGAATTACTGTTATCATTATTCACAACAATATCGTTGGTATTCACTTTAGTAGTCAATTGATAATCTGATTTCAAGTTTGTTGATAATGACGATGGTGGTGGTTGAACTGATATTGTTGTTTGTTGTTGTTTACGACGTAAATTATAAGGCACATTAACTGAATTATTATTATTAATAATATTATTGTCTAATGTTTGTATTGAATTCATATCTGTTGTATATGTATTACATTGTTCAATAGCTTCAAATTGTTCCGATAATGGTTCTTCTGTGATTATCGGTTCCATACGAGCAAGTGGACGTTGACGTCGTGCTCTTTCTCTATACCTTGAAATAAAAATAGGCAGGAAAATACAATTAAACAATTAGGATTTATGTATTCACTCATGAGTAACTAGTCACTTTTACAGTAGAATTAAGTAAAATAAATCTGAATAAGAATTTCCCTGACAAGGTAAATTAGATACGAGAAGTGTAAACAAGTGTTATATGTTTGGAAGAGATTAATCATAATTTAGTATTCAGAATTAGAGATGATAAATCTTCACTATGAAAACTATTAACATTCCCTGTGGAGCAATGGTTTAGTGGTTGAGAATATATATTTTAATAGTTGAGATCATTAGTCAATTGAAGTTTCAAGAGGTATTTTCTGGAGTTCTAATAAGAAGCAGTAACCAGTGGAGTTCAACTGTGTCTATTGTGAGATAGTAACTCACTGAAGACAATGGTGGATGTGTCGCTGAATTTCATGGATTAGTTGGAGTAAGACATTAACACTGTTAGATGCCAGCCGGCTCAGTGGTCTAGAGGTTAAGCATTCATGTGAGAGATAGATAGGTCCTGGGTTCGAATCTCACGATGCGGGATCATGGATGCGCACTGTTAAGGAGTCCCACAGCAGGAAGAAATGGTCGTCTAGTGCTTCCAGGTTTTCCATGATGTTCTAGCTTCAATTGATTCATCTCAACCATTAAAAAAGTACATATATATACATATTTATTATTAACTCTCTACCCAATGCTCAACTTATTTAAGGCTATCAAGTTCTAACCTTGGTATGGATACCTATTTAACTATCTGCTTAATGACTGATCAGTATATGAGAATAAAAAAATGTATTGAAGTCAATCACTCCGTATACACAAAACTATTTACACGTTAAAAAAAAAGAAACCTGTAAAATAAACATGTTTATACAAAACACAAACACACACACACACACCATCATATACACATGTAGACAAGTGAAGATGTATTCATATGAATATAGAACAAACCAAATGTATTTCTGATCCATATCTAAATTAAGGTAGATCAGGGATATACAACTATTTGTAACCAGTTTAAACGTGATAATGGATAGTACGGAAAAAAATGTGCTTTTTTTCTCATTAAATTAGAAACATCTTTTCATCACTTTTAAATTCAATATCACAACTAGTTCACCTTTTCATACTGTCTTACTATGCATATGTAATGAAAAGAAAAGAAGAAAAAACCAGATACATTTTTCTGTTGAGTTGATAGGAAACGATGTCCGATGATATTACGGTATTCTTTATATGAAAAACTATCTAATGAACTGATTAGGCAGGGTATTAGGGAATGATGGTAAATCAGTTGATGAGGTTGTGAATCTTCATCAACTGAGATGTTTAGACCACGTGGTATGTATGCCTCAACACCGATTACCATGACGCGCAATGCTGACTAGTGTTGAGGATGGTTGGAAAAATGTTAGGGGTGACCAAACCACAACATGACATCAGTGCTTGAAGTCGCTAAATTCTAGTCTGAGCCATGTTGGTAGATGCAGACTACTTGTTTGGGGTCCGCGTCACTATCGTAATCACTGGTTGGAGACTTTGGATGAAATGGCTCAGAACCTATCACAAAAGTGTAGTGTATAGACTCTCTGTCTTCCTTTAAACTATGAGATTGAAATCGCTTCATATCTTTCTTATTACGAGCTAATTTTTACTTCCTGTACTATATCCTTATACAAAATCTCTCTTTTATGTATATTACCACCATTGAAGTGACTACTTGTATGAATTCGGTGTTCATGTTGTTTGCTAATGAGGTGTGGCGACTTCTGCCGATGCATATATATGGCTGGTCCTACGTTGTAGCTGACTGACTGACTAATGAAATAATTATATACATGTAAATGTATATTCGCACGTGTATTTACTAAATTTTACTAATTTTCTTATGTTATTGTTACTTCATGATCTTTTCATATTAAGCAATGGTAGAAATTAAAGTATGTTCGGTTAGACAAATACAAATTATAATGTTTTGAAAAAAATAAATAACAAGTGGAAGACGTAGTTGATTCCAAAGATGTGGTTGATTCAGATTGAACATGTAAACCAATGTTTGTCGACTCAGTCGGTCTAAATGTTAAGTGAATGTTGTGAGGCTTGAAAGTTCTCAGTGAAGTCATGGATGCATACTGCTAAAGGATTCGGTAATAAAACCAAACAGTATTTTTTGGATCAAATTCAGCATCTGATGTAAACTATGAATAAATGCTTGATTAATATTTACATTCCTTCTACTACCTGATAACAGCTTTTAAGTTTTATAGTTTTATTCCATAGACATGATCTATTTATAAGATTGTTTGAGTAATTATTGAGTACACTGTTGGCAATCTGCTTCATGTTATGTGTTAGATAAACCACCAGTCAGTAAGTAACATAGATCCAATCATATATGTGCATTAGTCCAAGTGACGTAATGGTGCAACCACCAATTCATTTAGTTTCGTATCTACCCAATATGGCTTAAAACACAAACGGATATCACTTCTTGCTTTAACCATTACTAGTAATTATCAAAACTATTCCTACATTAGCCAGTATTGGGCATTGATAGATGAGTGGTTGAGTATGTGTAACATAAGTTCTAACCATTTCATTCAATACACTATCACAATCAAATTAAATATGTAAAGCAAGATATTAGACACAATTTCGATCGGTACAAGATAAACGTTTCGACTAAAGAAATGAATTCAAGTAAACTATAAACCATATTGAATGTTTACACATAATAAAATGAAGATACTAAACATAAACGTTATACCCTTTTTGAAAATTTATTTCTCTTTTTTTTTACTTCAACAAGTCTTGAATATTAGAAAAAGAGATAGAGAGTATAACAGATGTACTGATGAATGCAGTGTGGAACTAATAAGCATGTGTCACATTCTATATTGATTATCACTAACTGATTTCTAGCCACCACCACCGCCCCACTCTTCAGAGTGTGTACTTTCTTATGTGCCTGACGAAAACAGAGGACGGAAATATGAAAAAAAAACGCAATACTTTCAGAAAATAAAGACAATCTTTATAGTTATTAGGGATCTTACGTTTTTATAGAATATTCAAAACGATATTAATATTTACAATGTTTCCAGCACTTCATTAATCTAACTAAGGAAGAATGTGGTGGGTTATCTCTTCTAAAGATTTTCTTAAAACTTTAATTGGCTGGAAAAAATAACTTTGGAAATTTTAGCTTTTCAGGAATTTTCTAAACTACTTCATATGGAGTAATCTCGTAAACTCGAGAGCACAGGACAGATGTCGCATAGTAATAAGTACTGCTCATCAACAGTTCAAACTTGTATTACGATTAAACAAACGTCTGATGATTCCTGGTTTTCATCATGATGGACACAATGAAGTTAATCCGTAATCAATAGTATTATAAATAAAATGAAATTTTGTAAAAAAAACCCCGTCAAATCAACTATAGATTTTTTTTAACAGTAATGATTTTCCTGATCAGTGATTAACTTGTGTCTTATATGACACATATAAACACGTTAGTTTGTTAAAACAACAAAAGTTGATGATTGAGAGGTGATTTTTATCTGGCTGTATATATATATATTTGTGTATTCAATCAGTCAGCTACAACGTAGGACCAGGCACATCTATTCATCGGTCCAAGTTCCCATACCTCATTAGCACAACAACATGAACACCGAATTCATAGAAGTAGTTACTTCAATAGTAGTAATACATAAAAGAAAGATTGTGTATAAGGATACAATACAGGAAGAAGAATTAGTTGGTAGAAAGGAAGATACGAAGCGATTTCAATCTCATAATTTAAGGGACGATAGAGTGTGTGTTTGGAAGAAGAACCACTAATGCTTTTTCTAAAATAATACCGGTTATTCCGTTCAAGTGGTATCTGAATAAAACTATTATGCTACTATTAAAACTACAAAATATTTTGTGAATTAGTGCAAATTCGTTTTTAGGAAAACATAATCCCATATTCGGATTATTATAAAACATTGATTAAATCATCTTTCAACCCGTTGGTCAGAAGTAGTTTTAAATGAGGTTAGGACCAAGGGGGGGGGAGTAGTAATATAAATCATTATAATTTAGGACTCATATTATGATTAGTACAATGAGAGGAGAGGTGGAAATCGAACAAACGAAGTTGAAATAATTATTATCAATGGTATCGCAAAACGAAGTATACAGAGTTAATCATAAGCAAAGTAGACTTTAGAGAATATATCCATAACCTTAAGTTGCCATATTATCTTATCACAATCAGATGTAATTATCAAGACAGATACCAGAAAAGGAAAAGTTTGAAAGTATTCATATCCGTAGTGGTCGTTCTAACTGTAGTTGTAGTAAAAATATTTAAAGATAAGGGGTTAAGTTTAACTGTGCTATTGTGATCATTTTTAGATTAAATCAACTAACCTGTTCAGCCGTTGGTTACGATAATAGTAGGTATCTCAATCAAGAAGTCTGAACCGACTAATAAGACTGAGAACAACAGTCAATGACTTCGTGGAGATTTAAAGAACAGAATGAAATTATAAAACGAATGAAGTATGCAATCACATTCAAACTTAAGATTTAACGAATTATAAAGAATAAATGAACCACTGATATTGCGATTGGTTATAGTCTTGTTATCTAGGATCTTCAGTCCTACTGTGATGTATGGTACTTATGTCTGTCGATATAAGTAGTAAGTAACATCAATCAGAAGTGGAATGCCTAGCAGCAAAAGGTTGAGAAGATCGAATTGAATAGAACAAAAACGTAAACAGAGATTAATTGCAATAACAACAGGACTGAAGGAACAATTGAAGTCTTTGAGAGATAGTCAGTCAGTCAGTAACAACATAGAACTTCATATGCACGTACATCAGTTCGAGTTGTCATAACACATTAGCACAGAGATGCAGTTGTCAATTCAAATCCCGTAGTGCTAGATGTAGTAAAATTATAAGCTGTAATCAGAAAAATTAGGGTTTGAAGATGTTATTCAAGGAGTATAATCCAGTGAAATAAATTTGGAAAGAGGAAAAATAAGGGACATAAAGAATTCAGAAGATTAGAATTTGGGAGAACACAAAGAGTGTATGCACCTGCGCCATTGCAAACGATTTTAAGCCATGTCAGTCAGGGTCTCTAACCATCGGTTGCTATCATCTCGCGGTCCCCAACCAGGTAGTCTACACCTACCAACATGGCACAGTCCATATTTTATGAAGAGATTCTGTAATTTCGTATGAGAAAGAAATTGATTATCCCTATTTGATTGTTTTCTCACTACACTACATTAGAACTAATGTGCGGACACTAAGCACATCTTAACATAGATAAGTTCGATAATAAATAGTTACATGGACCGATTTTCGACATAGTTTTGAGCTAGATAACATAGTACTTTGGAGTAAGAGATGGGTTGGAATGTGTGCGTTATTTTTCAACCAATGAATAATGTTTTAAGGGTGACATATAACTTCACAAGAATATTGGATAAAGTTTAATGACACAGTGGTGATAGTCTTTAATTGAATAACTACTTATCTGATAAATCTATTCTAGTTACATCTTATCCAAAGGAAATTGAAGTTGTGTTCCATTAAGCGGAATGAATTTGTTATTCAACTAAGTATTAACACAATAGTACTGTATGATAACGAATAATGCTAAATTAATTTATATGTAGTAAGAGTGGCCATTTTGTATTTTCATTTAAGAAAAATAACCAGCAATCCTAGTTGAGGTGTTTGTTCATAACGTTTTAGATTCATGTTCCATAGCAGTAGAGTCGTGAAAGTAGTAGAGTGACGTCAGTAAATTTGATTCTATAGTAACCAATGACTGTAATACGTTCGTATGACGTTCGTTCTATCAGGGGTTTCCAACTCCCCTAGGTTGATCCTATATGCTTATCAATTAGGTGTTCTGTTTTGACTCTCTCATATAGTTGTGGAAATGATATACCACTTGAAGGTGGCGGTGAGTAGGGTCTCTCCGAAATAGACTTTAAAGGTGCAATCGTACATGAAAGAATTAAGAGGAAAAGTAGTATTGGTTAAGAAAAAATTAAACAGAAACAAAGAAATAAAAAAATAACCATAGTTACACTACTAATGATCATAAAAATATTAATTATAGTAATAATAATAATGATCTAAATACCATACCATTTAACATCAGATGGTGTATTCATTCGTTTCCATACATAATAGAATTCTACACATGCTTTAACTGTTTTATTCATTCCAGCTGCTTGTAAATCCTTTGAAACTTGATGAAAATCTCTTCCATGCATAGCTAAACCTTGCTGAAAGCGTACAATCTCTTCAGTTGTCCAAGCTGTAGTTTCTATAAAACCAGGAGGATATATTACATAGTATGAAAATAAAAGATTATATAATGAAACTACTGAAAATCGAAGACGACTTAATATATGCTTCGGCCTGGAATATTTAGATTATTCATCAGTAGTTTGTATTCACGAGTATAAACACAGACCCGATGTTCATAAAACAGTGATCCGAATAAAGAGTTTACAATTAAAGTTAAATGAAAAATAAATAGCGTGAACTAAACTGTTTGGTATATATGCATCAAACCAGTTACAAAACCAATTGATTAACTACAGTTCAACGGTATCATATTTATTTTCACTTTTTCCTACTTTTATCATACGTTACAACTGTTAGATCGAAGCGAATAATTGGGAAAGATGAAATTTCTAGGACTATTCTACGAAGAATTATTATTTGAATTTTTATTATGTAATTTATGAGTATTTAGTTTATGGTGTTTTCATATTCCTCCTCCTCCTCCCTCCCACGCATTTAATTATACCCCTATTACTCAGTTTTGTACGGTATACGACCAACTTGTATAGAAATTGTGATTTCCTGTTTGAAGTGGGTTATGGCCGTCTAATTCATGTAATCTTTTAAGTCATAATGATAATAATAGGCAAAGCGGTTAACAGTTCTTATGTTGTAATAAAGTATTGGGGAATAGAAAAATTGGCATGAACCAATACGCATTAGGATACCCAGTCGTTATTATTATTCATTAGTGTGGATAATGTGGTGGGGTTTGAAGTGAACGGTACTGAGTTCGAGTCCCGGACTGAACATCAACTCTGACGTGCAAGTATATCCAGCTGAACAGTCCTAAATAGGACGAAACGCCCGTCTTGGATTCTACTACTAGCCATCATCCATTTCTGTTTATAATGCATGTGACTTAAGGCAATATCGAAGCAATTCATACAGGATGCACATATATCAATAAGAGATTGATCATTTACAGTCTTAAATAATAACCAAAAGATTCAAATAACCAATACATAATAAATCATTAATATCATTAGTTAAACAGGTCATTATTATTACTAGAATGGAGTAAACTCATTATAATGAACTCTATAATCTATGAATTGAGAACATACAAGTCAAATTCATTACATAATTAATAAAACACAAACACCCATACACACACATTTAATAGAGATAACAATAATAACTTACCAGCATAAACATAATCATACACAACTAATGTATCACGTAATAAAGCATGTAATGTCATTTCTACATCACCTTTATATTTACATAATAAATGAAATGTATATTCCATATTTAATCCACAATTACGTACAGCTGGTGAACAGGCAATTTTTGTCAGTAAATTTACTAATAAAATAATTTTTTTGAAAAAACAAACAAACAAACAAACAGTGATAGTAACAACAAAAATATGGTGAGTGGGGGGGGGAAAGAAGAACAAAATGTAAACAAAATACAAAATAGAAGAATGTATTCAATAGATATGTTACAAGATTCTAGTACTTTGATATAATGGTCAAAGGCTATATATGTTGTTGACTAAATAAATGATACACTACTACAGGTTGTAATGCAGATGCAACGACGATACAATGTGATTTATAAACAAATACGACATCGGCTTCTATACACTAATTAATCAGTTATAAATATATCAGATCTTATAAAATGTCAATCACGATCCAAATAGCTCAATAGTAACGTCTTAGATTGTGAAATTGGACAATGTAAGCTTGAATCTCGCTAGGAAATAACAATCCTATAAAGATTGTAGATAGAACTTGTTAACGATTTTCGATTAGAATTAAACTGAGATCTAGGTTTTTCTGATGAATATTTTTAATCACCTACGATCTAGATGTTCATTTCTTTTGAGGATAATGAGTAACCCATGGTAAGATTGAAATTTCCCAATCGTCTATACTTTATATTCTGTTGACTATAAGTGATTTCTTTTAATAATAGTAAATAATTCAGTTTTGTGAGTAGCAATTGTAGAGTCAACTCATAACATACGATTATATAATAATAATGCCATTTGATGTCATTATTTTACAAACTGGAAATGTCCATAATCATAATCATAATTTGTTGACAAACTCTGTATAGAACTTATGTAAATGAGAAGATCACGAGATAATCGAAATCAATTGTTCTTTATACATAATTTTTAGTGGTAATACTTCAACATTAAACAAGAGATTTGCTTACTACAACCTTAAATAATCTAATAATAATATTTCTGGCTATTGAATAAGGAAGGGAATTTATTTAAACTACTTCATACATACATTAAAGGTATTAAGTTATCTTTATTATGTAGTGCCCCCAAATGCCCTGGTACGGCAGGGAGTGGGGAAAGTCAGCTCTCCTCTCCAAATGCTCCCAAATGGCCACGTGTATACAAACACAATCACTCGTGGCATTATTGTTGTTTACGAAATTGAGATGGCGAAAAGCGAATGTCCGGTGCCTTAACCGGGTTGGTGGACACGGACAGTCCACCTAGGAGAGTTGGAAAACTCTGATTCCAAATCAATGGTACACATGGGCTCCACTATCCTGAAGGAATAAATGGCGCATCATGACACTGCATCTCCTGACGTTGCTCCACTGTCTTGTGGATCAGACCTTTGGGTCGAAGGCTCCGGGTATGACCTCGTAAGTAAACCGCTTGCTTCGGTCTGGGCACCCAGGCAGTATCATAGCCCTCACATAAATCGAATGACTTATGTGGCGCATATCTATTTGGTGCCTCCTTGTATCAATGTATATGTATTTTAAAAGGTTATGTAGGGCCTAGTGATTAAATGATATTATGGTTGTTTTTCGTGGATTGTTTCTTTTAAAACTTTATTACTTCTCCACTGTGAAAGATGCATAGACTATAGGCCTTAATCAGTTTAATCTCAAGTACAGTAAAATAATAGATTGAACAATAATGAGATTTAGTATATGGGGTAAAAGAGAAAAATGGGAAATTATACATAATTACTAATCGATAATATTAGTTGAATTCTGAAGAAGAAAAGAAACACTACTCAACACATAACTAATTGTATGTTAGTGATGCCAGAAAACAAAAGAAAAGGAACTTACATGACTCTATATTCTTAGGATCATGTTCATCAAGATAAGCTGGATACCAGAGTAACATTTCCCAGTTGGATGGTGATTCTTTGTTGGTTTCATCTGATGTAATTTCTAATGTTTTTGTTAATCATAAGAGCAGGGAATAAAACAAAATTTAACAATTCGATTCAGTAATATGTTCTTTTTTTTTTAAAAAAAAAGATACATTTCATGATGAAAATGACTGAACGTACTATAATACATTATAACAATTCAGTGAAAATTATAGAAATAATGTTTAGTCGTTCCAGTTACCAAGTTTCTGGTTCGAACTCATCGTCTGTCGTCCACTTCCCATCATTGATCGCCCCATTTTAAAAGAAAGGGCAAATATCCGTTTGTGACAATCAAAGAGGAATTAGTTCATCTAAAGTACCGTCTAATATATTACTCTTAATAAAATCTCAACGTCTAACTAGAGTGAATGAAGAGCGAACCCGAGGAAACCAGGCTAGTTTCAGACCTGGATGCGGACATATAGACCAAATATTCACCATTTGGTAGATTCTGGAACATAGACATACTTTTCGACGTGCGATAATAGTTACATTCCTTGATCTTAAGGCAGGGTTGACTCTATTGTTCATGAGGTTTTGCGGAAGTGTCAGTTATTGAAAGACATACCAAAGAAGTGCATTAACCTTGTACAGATCTTTTATTCGAACGCTACCGGTCGGATCAGAGCTTATAGTGAACTGTCATCAGAATTAATCAGTTCAAGTGGTGTTCATCCAGGTTTTCCGCTTTCTCTATTTTTATTTAACTTTGCTATAGACATGTCTTTACAAATAGTACTTTCATCAGATAAATTTTTAGGAGTTAATCTTTCACCAGCAGATTAACTTGTTAACTTAAAATGCGCAGATGATATAGTCGCTTTTGGTGAAGTTGCTGATGAAATGCAGAGACTTCTGATAGTCTTAAGCAACTTCGGTATGCAACTCTTTTCCTACAAGTGTTAAATTGTCACTTCAGGATTGCCCTGTGTCAACGCCTTAACTAAAGATAGGGAATGAAGTAATTGAATTTATTGACCTCTTCATTGACATCGGGAGTCTCGTCAGTCCTGGTGGTTTGGTGCCTGATGAAATTTAGGCATAGATTCAGAAGGCTTGATTAGTTTTGGCAAACTTAAGTCGCTTGTGGCGTAGTCGAGATATCCGTCTTCAAACCAAAGGACGAGTTAACTGCATAACGGTTCGCTCTGTCCTGCTTTATGGGTGTGAAACATGCCTATTAAGAATACAGGATATTATTAAGTTACTAGTTTTCGATAACGTGTGTCTTTAAAGTACTGTTTGTGTATTTTGGGACAACCACCGCCTATCGAAACGCGCGATTTTGTTTGGTGTAAGAGTGAGCTAGGGAGGGCGGTGACCAAAACAAAATATAAGATCAGTTCATGAAGCCAATGACAATTGAACTGAGTTACGTGGCATTTAATTTCTTTAAGTATTATTTACCTTGACAAAAATCAGGAATTTCTGCTTGATAAGCGTGACCAACATTGATATGCCTTAAAAATAGAGAAATAAAAGCAAAGAAATCAAAAGTCGTAATCAAATAAACAAATATACAACTATCAGTATAAGAGGTCTTAATAAGATTGTAGAATTTTAAGGTTTACATTACAAACCTCTAATACCAATTATAATAATATGCTCGGTAAGTTGTGATGTATTTCCTGGAGTTTAAACGAAAAGCTGTGACAAGTGAAGTTTGACCTCTTCGTGTATCATTCAGTTATATACTAATGGTATGTTAAATGATGATTACACAAAATCGTGAAATCATTGAAGTTAGACGAGTAAACTAATAGATGTCAGCTCAGAATTCCGAAAATTAATGATTTCCTGCTAGGTTCGACGTTCGATCTTTGATGAAGTAGCAAATGCGTATCGGCATGCAGTTCCATACTAGGATGAAGCATATGTCGAGTACTTCCTGGTTTTCACTGGTTGTTTTAATAAGATCATTTCGTGACGCAAACTATAGCTGAACGACTAATCTTGAACACATTGACTACATAAACGCACTTGATAGGATTCTTGTAGTTCCATTCAATATAACTTTCCTCAGTTGTATACTTACGTGGTAATATGAATATCATACTTACGGTTTACACAATGTTGTCACGAACCTGTATTTTGGCTACTAATTTGAATTTCATATCTACTGAAGAATTAAAATATACACATTATATTAGGCAAATGTTAGTTGAGAAATATGAAGTTTTTTTTCTCATTTTTCAATAGCTGACATTTTATCGCTAGGAAGACCTAGAATTATCGGGTTCTCACTAAAATAATCTAAACATTGTTTCTTGTAACCCTAATCGCGATAACATTAATCCCAATTCATAGTTCCGTACGACTTTTGCTTTTTTTTTGAAAATCACTATTAGACATCAACTATTGCTAATAACGTAGATGCCCCAAACGCCTTGGTACGGTCGATGGTGGCTACGCATATACAGCGACTGTCAGGGAATTCCTACTCACTGTCTTCTCGTGGCAGGGCTGTTGTTTACAAAATCGAAAGGATGAAAAGTGAATGTCCGGCGCTTTACCTAGGTTAGGGAATATGGAGCATCCACCTTGGGGAGTTGGAAAACTCTGATTTCAAACCAATGGCGCACATGGGCTCCTGGATTCTGAACGAACATTCCATCAGAACACTGAAGAATCTGAATAAAGTCAGAATAATAATTGAAGCAGAATAATGTGAATTCATCATGTTTCGTGATTTCTCATCAGCTGCTTACAACCATCTATGTGTCCGAATGACATTTAAAACTTAATGTCATGATTCACTTGATTATACAAGACCAGAGCGTACCATAAATACGATATCTTAGTCAGTAAATAACAAAGATGTGTTGATAAACAACTGGGCTACAGATGTTTAAGTAAATGACTATTTGAAGACATACAAAAAATAAATGGACTGAAAGAATGCTAACAATTACATTTACATAAATTCACCGTAAAACGACTAATTAATAAACAATGTTCATCAGAAAAGTATAGAAAACAATCAACAGGTAGATGTCTCCATCTCACATTTCTTTTCCTTTCATCTCTTCTTAATAAATACGTTAGTTAAAAAAACAGAGAAAATTCGTCGTGATGATCTGGCTAACCATGACTTAAAGTTGCCAATCATAGATGTCACTTACTTGCGGTGGTCAGGCTTGCTTAAGTTGATAATAATCTAAATGAATTATATTGACTAAAATACTTGTTTGTGTATGTCTTATTACCAGGTAAGTTGGCTGGATAGCGGTAATACTAAAAGAAGTAAACTCATGTTCCGCGGGTGAAGTTGTACTGGCGACTGTACACGAATGTGATGTTATCAAGGTATTTATTTCCTTTAGACAACCAGCATCCACAGCGATTCTATATTCCAACATTGAGATCGTTAGGAAAGGTTGGATCTAAAAATAGAGTACCTCACCTTTTTCCTATACAGTTCCATTGTTGGTGGTAAAGTTTAAATGTAAGGAGCTAATGCACCTAAAAGTCTTCACAAAATGGCCGTATGCGACTGGCTCTAGACAGTTATTCCACGAACGCTGCAGCGACACTTCTAGGTCGTCAACTGCACCCCTGACTCAGTCTTCTTTACAGATCGTCTATAATATGTATCCTTCTGCAGTGTGGGAAGCAGGAAATAGCAAATTTACACAGACCTTCAACATCAGTGTTCAAATTAAAGTGGGTGAAACAGGAATTGAACCTAGGATACCATGATGGAAAGTCGAATGCTTTGACCGTCTAAGCCATCACACTTTATTCATCTCGATTATTTGTGTACAAAATATAAAACTTAAAATACATAAATACTCACGGAATAATACTAGTTGGAACACCTTCTTCATCGTCATCATCCTCTTCATCCTCCATTTCATGCTCCGAGTCTAATTCAACATCGCTATTAAATTGTATTGTTGTTTCAGAATAGTTTGTCTCTTTAATTTTCATTTCGAAATCAAAATTTAACAACTGTTCATCAGCAAAGTTGAAACTGTGATCAGTTTTATTAAGAATTGATTCATTACTATTGTTATTATTATCATCATCGGTAGGAGTAGTGGTAGTATGGTGATTGATTTGATCATTAGATGCATTTATCTCAGTATCATATCGACGACGTGAATAACGTTTATCTTGATGTTTTTGTCTATTTAACCGGTAAGCTTCATCGGCTTCCGCAAAACGGCGCATAGTCTCATCATCATAACCAAATACGGTATCAGTGTTAGAGAATTGTTGTTGAGATTGAAGTGATAACTCATTGTCTTGAAGATCTCTTGATTGATTTGCCTACAGTGAAGAGAAAAAAAACAATCATGAATGAAATAGTTTTAAGAAAAAATTTATCGGTTTTCATAACGACTTCATCATACAATTGAAGAGACCATTGAAAACTAAAGAGAACGAGTGTATTTAGTTATTATTTTGCTATGGTATGTAAATATTAAGCAATGTAACTATACGTTAGCGACAAACTTGAGTGATCGTTAAATTGGCTAGTGAAATTTTACTTTTATTACACAATCAGAATGTAAATGAAGTTAGAGTATAATTTGTCATTAAAAAAACTGGAAAAATTCCGAAAAACTAAAGTTGGTTTTTATGTATTGATGAATTTATGACGTACACGGGACCTTGAGATATCGTCCCGTAAATACATTTAACTGTGTCCTATATCATACAATGTGCGACCGACATGTATTTAAGATTGTAGATACAATCTGCATCCGAATCAGGTATTTCTTATAACTTAGCCTTCACACCATATCATATTCACTATACAATGGAACAACAGATATATTTATCAATCATAAATGCGTTAAAGCATGAACATAAATACGTTTTGAAAAGCTTCTAATCAGTTACAAGCCAGCTTTATTCGAATTTCATGCAAAACTCAAACAATAAGTACATTGAATCTGATTGGTTCGTCGTTGAAATATAGTTTTACTGCTTAATTGGTATGCATCCATGACTTTATAGCCGGCATGAAATCAGGAAGACTTAGTTCTCACAACGAGTACAACATACGTTAGTTAGTTAGAGTAAGTATCAGTTTAAAGGGTACCAATTTTTTATGTGTTTTTTTTTAGACTATTTATACACGATTCTGTTGATAAGCCTTTAATCTAAAAACCTCTTTAGTGTGTTGACACCAAACTATAGAACCGTTGTGAATTGATCTAAACATTCAACACACGACCAGTGAGTTGTAGGATGCATATATGCCAATAAGAGACTGATCAATTGCAGTCCTAAACAACAATGGGAAGATACAAGCAAACAACACCAAGTGAATTTAAACTTCACCTCATTACACAAGCGAGTGACTATCAGGACTCAGTAGCTAAGTGAATAGCGCGATAGCGCTTGAAGAGAACATTACTGGGTTCGAGTCCCAGGGTGAAAATCAACTCTGAGATGCAGGTACATCCAGATGACAAGTCTTATATACGACGATACGTGCGTCCCGGGTTCCATCATTCATCTTTGCATCCAAATATTATTTTCTGAATGCTTTTCAAAGAAAATTTGTCATCGCCAACGAGATCTTTGATCCTTGATTCTGTGTTTAACTCATCTCTATTAACTGTGATTATACTCGGAAAAAAACATAGTGAATGTAACTAGAGGAAATAATATCTAAGTAGACGATAAGTATATATCAACAACAACAACAATAAGATTGAATAAACCGACAACTGGAACATGTAATCAAATAACACTAAATTAATTCATAGGTAAATTACATGTCAATTAATCATTTATAATTTATATGGTCCAATAAATACGAGATGGAGTTATACATGTATATACACACAAAAACTAGTAGACGACAGATATGAAAGATTTTTCATTCGATAACTAACAAGAACTCTTTCCAAACCATATATATTGTTTCAGCAAAACAATACTCTTTTAATATAAGGAAATTTTAAACAAATGAATAACATCAGAAGGGGTTTTTGTGGATGTTATAGTAATTTCAATAATTGAGTTCATGAGTCGCACGAGATCGATAGGTCCTGGATTCGAATCTCGTGAGGTGAGATCGTGGATGCTCATTGTTAAGGAGTCCCACAATAGAACGAAACGCCCATGCAGTGCTTCTAGGTTTTTCATAGTGGTATAGTTTCAATTGACTCATGATCTCAACTATTGAAATTAATAACAGTATTTATGAAGATTGTGAAATTTCCAATTTAAACTACGAGTTAGTCTTAGATCATCATTGAAAATCGAAAAATATTAAACAGATGTTTCGTTGCAGTACGTGCATATTTACGACCTCATAATAAAAAACCAAATCCAGGACCAACGGTCTCGAGGGTGAACGTTTAACCTCTAGACCAATGAGCTGTATAACTTCAATCAATTCATGATATTGCGAGACCATCACCTTCCACTCGATGAGTTGACTAACTGTATAGAACCCGACATAACTGAACTCTACTAATTAAAATTATGAAAATCCTAAAATCTCCAATGAAACGTCTATTGATAATAATCTTATTTTCATGAGTGACTAGCTTGAAGACACGGTTCCTGGAAATCTAGAGAGAAGTCGTAACCGGTGGAATTCAACCAAATTGGGTGTGAAACAGTCAACCACTGAAGGTACTGGGAGATGATCGCGCAATATCGTGAATTGATTGAATTTAAACATATTTTTATCCCACAGATGTCATACAACTCAAAAAACAGAACAGACACGCACATATCCAAATAGATAATCAATTGATAGGTACATAAACAGATGGAGATACAGCTATTAGATAGGCAAATAGGTAGATAACGCGTAGAAAGATAAACAGACAAAGATGCTTAGGAGTAGACATCAGACTAGCTACAAAAGGAGTGAGCGATGAACTTGTCTTATCCATATTCTAGAAATAAAAAAGTTACAATGTCTAATCGATATTTTGAGACATGATCGAGTAAAGAACAACTTTCAAATAATACCTTACGTTGGTGTGTGTGTGTGTGTGCATTTATGATAATGTTGACTGTTCATCAAGAATCGACACGTAAGCTGATGAAAAATTGAAAACCAAGGAGCCTTTACTGTGAACTCCGAAGAAATATCCACCTAAGGAACCGAACTCACGACCTTTAAAGCTTTCAGTAATCGAATAATTCTCTTTAGACAATGATATACGAACGTCTTTGGTTACGGGAAATTCTCAGATTTACGGTTTCATAAGCATAGAGAGAAATTATTCATTATAAAAGCGTTGGTTATCGCACCTTTTATGATTAGAACAATGTAACAGCAGAGACAAAATTAATTCAACACTAACAGAAGTCGTGCATCTTTCACTGGACGAAGATTAATGTCATTTGCCAAACGACTACCTAAAGACCTGAACGTCCTGACTGATGAATGTGAAAGTGAGAACGAATTCTGTTTTATACAAATATTTTACACTACATTTCATACTAACAGATGCTCATCGTCAACTAATTGAATGGAAATATCACTATGATGCAACGGATAGTAAAAATTTCAATCGCTTATTCAAGATTAAAAAGTTTATTTCGCCAAATAACAGACCTACACGTACCCATCACAAATATATCTCGAAATTGATTCCAAAATATCATCTTGAAAATCCGGCTTTGATGGCTTAGATGAATATACGAACATCATCTCGGAAAATTCCACATTGCCCATCGTTTCCTCAAGCTGGAACTAGGTGGAAAGGCGATGATCTTATGACATGAAAGTCGTGTTCCTAGATATGGTACGACTCGACTTCTGATGTCATCAAACATGGTTCAGAATAGTAGGCAATGGCGATCCTACTTCAGCTTTCTCTTACGAACTTCATTAAGGTGAGAGGGACTATATGAATCGATAGAAATCCCTGTAGGCTGGATATATAAAAGAAATGTATCTTCTACTATACACTATAATTGTTTATTTATTCTTTTATTTTGTTGCATTGCCTTTACCTGATCTAACGTTTCACAATCTGATCTCTTTATTATATTCGGTGTATGAAATTTTTAATGTTCAGTTGTACCAGATTTCATGTACCAAATAACAGAGAAATAAAAATAGTACGAATTTCGGAAGTGGTGAATGTAGAAAGATTTAAGATTAAGTTACTGTAGTATTTATAAACAAAGCTTCACCTTCATATGAGATTCATACACACACATGCGTAGTTCAGTACAATAATAAGTAAAGAAATTGATGAGCAGTTTCAACAGAAATTGACCACCAAATGTTGTATGCAAAAGTACATTGGAACCAAAGATTAAAATTGTAAAAAGAACTTACCGAATTTTTTGTCGTATTACAGTTAAGAATTAACACAGGAGCGGACTTTGGTGTGAGTTGTTGACGTCGTCTACGTGTATAGGCTATTGGTCGATTTACATCACGCATATACAAGTCAGTGATTGAACCTGTATTTACGTTGTTATTGTCATAACTATTATTATTAGTAGTAGTATTAGTAGGGTCAGTAAATATATTATTACCAGAATCTACCATATTGATACTCTGATTTAAGTGCTAATCTCACTGGTATTACTCCTAGTACCACTGCTACTTGCATGACGTCGTTTCAACTGACCACCACTATTGACCCCACTGCCAGTTGCACACATAGTAGAAGTATTAGGAATAGTAGTAATTTCTGAATCATTATGATGGGAGATCGATGAATAATAACTTGAGAATCGACGATTCATCAGTGTACCGCTCCCGACAGAACGAGTTCCTGTCGACGTCGTCACTGACGCTCCTCCTCCTGATACTGTTGTTGGAGTTGGCACCCATCGCGATAATGAAGAAAACAAACCGGAACCTTGACGGATTGGACTAAGCATTGGAGGTGGTGTATATGGTGGAGGACTAGAATTAAGCGAAGATCGTTTTGAACTCCATACACGTGGAGAACGTAATCTTGACAAATTTGCACCGGTCTACAGAAAATAATCACATTGAAAATAAAGTTATATAGATCAATCATTACTAACCAAAAAACTAATGAAATGTTTCATTCTTGAATTTGAAAAATGTTTAATTCATTTCGAAATCGACGTTCTTACAATTCAGAAAGAATAAATGCTAACCTTCATTCTAATGAACTGTGGGCTTTCATCAGTTAACTGATAAAAACATAATACGTTATCTTAAGTTTCAGTGCTTAACAAAGTCATCGTCTTAAACAGATCGATGTAAGCAAACTGGCTGTAGCTTCTGTTTCAAGTTTTACAGTAAACGAGGATTGTTACGTAGTGAAATTGTGCAAAGCTTGAGTAAGGACCGAGAAGCATATTGGCTGGAGCATGCTAACGTTTTGTAAATACCAGATGCATCTGATAACTGATGAACAGTCTGTCAATTCAATATAATCACCATAAACTATGTGACTCGGTCAAATCTGTGCCAGAACGTGATGTTCTAGTTTAGAACTATTGAACAATAGAAATTATGATATAGGTGCATTGGTTCATGTTGCCATACCACAAATTAGCACAACAAGACGAATAACAAAAGGGATGAAAATTATGTATTATAAATCATAATTAGAAGTATTCAGCAACGAGAACATAGATCAAAAACGAAATGAGACGGAATACAAGAACTGAAAATCTAGAGCACGACGAAGAATGAATGCTTTTGAGCTAATCGGGTTGTTTGTGACTTATATCATTCAAGTTCCTTAGCCACTGATTGAAGTTGTAGCATGGATAACAACAAGACAGTTTGTATCGACTAGTATGACTTGGAACAACATTCAATGATTTCATTGACTGTCTCTGCACTTTCTTCCAGATTACTCCTACAACAGAAAAGCCTGGAGTAAAAGTACGCAACCGACCGGATGAATATTTTGGAATGGTCGACATATGAAACAAACGGTGAGTGAAGTGTATCAACGCAACTCATACATTTATAAGCTTTTACGGTTGAGAAGATATTAGGTATCCCTCGAAAAAGTTCAGAGGGACCCTGAAAACATTATATCCAACCAGCCTTAAATAGAAGTTTCACAAAACATCTAGCAAGTGAAGAGATACGTGTCACACTTCTGATTGAAGGATTACCTATCCTGCCGTTATGTTTAGTGGAGTTCTAGAAACTTCCAGAGGCCCAAGATCATCTGAATTACTATAAATACCACTAATTTTCTATACAAACTTGACCTTCGGACTACTGAATCCGCACCAAATAGTGTACATGTCTAACTTCATCAACCAAATCATAATACTGTACATCTATCTGCCTCACACGCGATACAGTTGGACTCCATTAGTCACTGCCTCGCAATAGAACTCCAAGAAATACCTATCCATCAGATAGATATGATAAATATCAATACAAGGGTTCGTTGAGAAAATTGACTTCAGTAACACTTGACAATTACCACAAATCCCTATACTCAAAATGACTCTCGACCTACAGAAAATATCGATCAAGAAGGCCAGAATCTAGAATAAGAATAAAGGTCATCGATAAACAATCAAGATCCACAGGATAATATGTAAGTTATATGTGTAGAAAGTGGAATTTCTCAGTCCTACCTGAAGTTAGTGCAGATGTTGATGTTCAGAAGAGGTGTGAAGGCTTCATGCTATATCATCTACAGCAGAACACGCAAGTGCCTCAGAATCACTCATCGTAGCTATAATCACATTCACTAACTCTTTTATCTGACAAGCTTTTATGTCTAAAGTCAGTATCAACAAATTGATAGTCCCACAATTATCCACAACACATAATTATTTTCATTTTCATCAATAAATATTTATGGTCGTTCGGGCAAGGATGACTTTAACTAAACAGCCATTACTACTAGAAACACTGGATATTTGCCTCATTCCGGCATGTAACTACCTAGCGGTGAGCACCCCTGTGGCTACCTGAAACAGCAGTAAGAAACTCTAGGACTCGTCGCAAGTCCTAGCTTTCAGTTCACTAGGTCAGGTTAATATTGTCAAGCGAATAGAGTTAGAAGTGCAAATTACTTGACGCCAGATTAGCGGTCTGAAATCCAGGAGTTCGCTACGAGGTCTAAGGGATCTTGGTCCAATTCCTGATGGGTTTGTGAATGAACAACCCTAAGGAGCAACATATTGAGACAAAACACGTGTTCAGTGCCCTCTGGCTTTCAGTGGTTATTGATTGAAATCAGTTTGCAAATAAAATTGAAAAAATTGAAAAAAAACATCTTACTTGTGGGGGAATTGAAATAGGCGCTGGTTTACTTTTCATCTTTTTCGGTGGCGGTAGTGCTGTTGGATTACGGAATAAATTATCTTCAGCTAATGATTTGGAAAGTTTTGCTGCAACCGAATCATTTCCTGAATCGCAAGGATACTTATTATTATTGGATGTTGTCTGATTTGTTGTTTTTTTGATCATTTCATCGTGATCATCACAGTTGACAATATTATTTTGTGTAATCGATGGTGGTACAGTCAGGTCCAATAACTCGGACTGATTTAAATTGGACACTGAATATGAAGAAGTAATTGGAAGATGTAAACTGATAGGCAATTTTTGATGTTGTTGTTCATGATGATGATGATGATGATGAGTTGCTACTTTCGAAAAGTGCTGTTGTTGATGTTGTTCAATACTCAAATCTCTATATCCATAGAACGAAATGAATTAGTCATTAAATGTGAATCAGTACATGAAAAGAAAGATGTTGTTTCTTCTTGTGATATCGATGATAATGAAAACGGTAATACTGGTGATGTTGCCGGTGATAATGATGGCACTAGAAATGATGATGACGATGATGGAATACATGTCATTTTATTAGTTGGAAATATACTTGACATGTTGTTCATAATATTTATTGGTCGGTATAAACATTCATCTTCTAAAATAGAGAATGACTGGTCGACTGTTTCTGCTGTAGATCTTGCTACTAATAAAGGTTTTTGGTGTTGCGACGGCAGTGGTGGTGGTTGTGTTAGTGCTGGTGATGGGATAGGAGTTAAAGACAGTTCTGGTGTTGTTGGACAAGAATTATGTATATCACATGTTAACGATGATAATCCATCTGGATCGGTAATATGGCTAAAGACGAAAAACATATAGATGAAAAAATATGTGTATCACTATGAGCATGATAACTTTGGACTAGTAATAACGGTTATATTATATTATGAACTGACTGGAAATGAAAATGTAACTGTCTAATTTCGACAGAATCCTCATCACAATTGATAAGCTGAGATAGTGCTCGAGCTTGCATATCGTGATGACCTTCTTAATTTACATAGTGTGAAACATTTATGCTTTTAGTTCCTACCATAACGAAGCAGGTTAGTTTGAGCAAGGTGAAACTAAAGACAGAAAACGTAATGTCTGAGAACGAAGTTCTAAAGCTGAATATACAACGGTGTTATAGCGGTAAAGTATTATATTTCAACAACCTACGTCTGTAGTAATTTTGTTTCAAAAATAAGCAATGAAAATGATCAGTCAAAAGTATAAAATGAATACATCAATATTGAATAATGCTAAAGTAATAACAGTGATTAACCAATCAGATTTGAAGAAGACAATTAGAGCTGTCGTCAAATAATCACGTAGCAAAATGTTAACCACTGATAAAAAATGTGCTAATTTCTAAGAAAAGAAAAAAATATGTTAAGAACATATCAACAAGATAAAATATTGCGTCCAGAGATGTTTATTGTTACCACAAAAAAGAAATAACTTCATTGGAGTGTAGAAGCCAACAGTATGAATTGATTTGTTTTTCACTGCTGTAAATGTAAATCATGTGGTCTCAACATTGTACAGACGTACACTTAAACATTATAACGAGCAGAATTATGAAAAATTCATCCAAATACATAGTGACGGTGAGAAAGATTAAACATTGCAAAATACAGTCCAGATAGAAGGGATGAAATTGAGAAATGGAAAGCACATTGTTGAAGACTAAGATCAGCACAAGACAAACAGTGAATATACCTAACCTATTGTAACTGATTTTGAGACATATCATCCAACTCATTTGGTATTGTTTAGTTGTATCTTCCCATTGATGTTTAGGACTGCAATTGATCAGTGTCCTATTGGCATATATGCATACTGTGCGTATTGTCTCGATAAGTCGCAAGCCTTATAAGCAAAGATGAATAGTGGCTAGCAGTGAAATCCAATGAGAAGATAGAAGTAAACAATACCAAATGAGTTGGATGATATGGCTCAATATCAGTTACAATGGGTTAGGTGTATTCACAAGATTGGAAGAACCATGAAGCACGTACAGGAAAGCTGAAGAAAGATGTGCAAATAATGTACGGTTTTCATATATTACGAAGGCAATTTGTAATTTTGAATTAAACAATAAATTGATTTCCCCCACCTGAGATTTCGTTTACTACACTACGAATATGGTCTGGAAGAACAATCGATGGTTTTATGGATTGAACCCATATTTTGCCTTGGGTGACCACACATTATTTTCAAACTATTGCTACTCCAGCCAACATTTGGCATCGAGGTAGAAATGGTTATTCGACATACGTCGCAAATGTTCCAGCCACATCATTTGACAAAGATTCACGTTTTTAGTCACCAATTTATGATGCTTGTATGGAACTATACGTTTAACTTTATAATAGCTAGCTCGATCTTCTTACCGTAAGCCACTAGTGCTTTGAAAACAATCGCGATAAAAAAAAACTGTAATATCTATATGTCTACTATTTTCATAGATCATATTCCTTAACCATATCGTAATAGAGAGTAAACTACTGTTATCTCCAATAATTATACGAAACTGGAAAAAAAAGTAAATCGCTCTTGTGAAGTACGTAATAACTACTACTCACCACGAAAAATTATATATGGTTTGAATTATTTTTGCTGTTTGGCGTTTTTTTTAGCGAGTTAGTTTTCTACAGGATGGGGTCGCTAACTCCATGCCTAACCTGGCCTTGGGACCGGCAGTAGCCCAAGAGGGGCTCCAAGCGAAGTTTTAAAAAACTTGTATATAAAAAAAGTTTCAATAACAAAAGAGAGAATTTAAAAAAAATTCTGTATAGTTATTTCCAATGGACGTTAGGAATGTCGAGGTAACTGGTTTGTTTGTAAAGTTTTCACTATTCATCTGAACAAAATCATAAGCATATACATTAAAAAGAAGTGATATATTAGAATTTCTCTAATAAAATCAATTAACACCGTCTTATTGACCTGAAATTTCATTAGTTGTTATCTATAACTGTATGGTTGTTGTTTAGATGTTTATTTTGGCAGTGTATCTAACGACCTGAACATCTACATCTACATGAACACTAAGTGAATTGTTAAACGACATGACATCAGTCAGTCAACTACAACGTAGGACTAGGCACATATATGCATCGGTACAACTTGCCATAACTCATTAGCACAAGAACATAAACAGCAAATCCATAGAATTAGTTAATTCAGTGGTGGTAATATATAAAAGAGAGGTTGTGTATAAGGATATAGTACAGGAAGAAAAAATTAATCCATAGAAAGATATAAAGCCATTTTATTCTCAGAGTTTAAGGGAAGACAAAGAGCGTGTACAACTACGCCATTGTGATCGATTCTGAGCCATGTCATTCAAAGTCTCCAACCACTGATTACGATAGCCACGCGCACCCCGACCCAGTAGTCTGCATCTACCATCCACATAGCTCACACTATAAGTTAGTGACATCAAGCACTGACACTATGTTGTGGTTTGGCCACCCCTAACTTTATTCCAACCATCCCCTACACTAGTGAGTATTGAGCGTCGTGGTAATCGGTGTTCAGGCATACGTGGCTCAACCATCTCAGTTGATGAAGATTCACAACCTCATCAACTGATTTACCATCATTTCCTAGTCTCACTATTACTTGTCCGGTGATCATGGGTTCAACTAAGAAAACGTCAAAATAGTGGACAGAAGAAACACGAAGAAAGTCAACAGATATGTGAAAATAGACCAAATATTTCATTCGAAATCAGAACTCCTCCTTGAAATATGAATAACCATGTTTGAAAGCTACAAAACACTATCTGGATGTCTTAAACTATAAACAACTTGGATACTGATATTCACAAGAATTCTAATTTAAATAGATCTGTTCTGAGTACAGATCGTTTTTTTTTTTTAATGAATCGATGAACAGAAAGAAAGACATAAGATATGAGTTATGAATCTGTTCATTCAATTATATATAGTTAAGAATAGACAGTACAAACAAAGAGAAGGTTGATAGAACAATCATATCAGTAACAAGATTTAACAAGAAATTAACTTAATAATTAAAAATGAACAATAATAATGTGTACAAGTCAACAAACAAATACAAATAACCACTAGAATAATTTACAAGATTAACTGTGATTTCCCTCAACTCAACCTTTAAAAAAATAAATAAATAACTAGATCCAATGATATGAGGTATACACATATATACAAGTATAGATGGACAGACCTTAAAAAAAGGATGACCAAACATCATTGAATGATCATTATGACTATTATTCTAAGGAATCACAAGTTGAGTTCATGTATCTAGTGGTATATATATGTATATAGATTGATGATAGAACAATAACGAGTAGATAGGTATGAACGTGTGCTACACCATAAAATTTATAATTTATGGTAATAACTGCCTGTTTATGTACTTCATAGACAGTGAGTGGATGAGCGGAAGAGAGAGAGAGAGAGAGAGAGAGAGAGAGCATAACGAACAATATGAAAAATACACGAAAAATACTTTCATTTATTATATTATTTTCATGAAAAAAATAACCTGATATTTTTCCTACTTAATAAATCTAATAAGCACGAGAAATATTTTGCTTTATATAATATAATGTATACATACATACATATGATGATTGAATAGACTAAGATGTTTAACAATAAAATGAATTGATCAACATATAGAATATTTCACTAGTTGTAACCATGAGCCAATTGAAGCTATACCATGGAAAAACTAGAAGCATTGAGCCGCCGTTTCGTCCTAGTATGGGACTCCTCAGCAATGCGCACCCACGATCCCGCCCCTCACGAGATTCGAACCAAGGACCTATAAGTCTCGTGCGCGAGCGCTTAACCATTAGACTTGAAATTTCTAGAACCTTCACAAAACCCCTTTTCATAATAATCATCTGCTAACTAGTGACTGACTTCAAGAGGCATTTTCTGGAGTTCAGGTGAGAAGCCGTTACCAGTGGAGTTCAACCAGGTCAGTTGTGGGATACCAGCTCCCTGAAGACAATGGTGAATAGTGGCGCAATTTCGTGGATTGTCTAAAGTTAGACATAAAACCGTTGGATGCGGCTCAGTGGTTTAGGGGTTAAACGCGAGACTGATAGGTTCTTGGGTTCGAATCTCGCGCGAAGCAGGATCATGGGTGCACACTGCTGAGGAGTTCCACAATAGGACGAAACGACCGTCCAGTGCTTTCAGGTTTTCCATGGTGGTCTAACTTCAATTGAGTCTATTGAAGTTAGATGCACTGTTGAGAAGTCCCACATAGAATATTTACATACATTAACACTAACGGATGTAGAGATAAATTTAGCATGAGAACATACTAAGATGTTGTAGATTCGTTGAAGTTAGACATTAACACAGTGGTCTAAAGGTTAAGTGTTCGCATACAAAACCGAAGATCTTGAGTTCCAGTCCCGTGAGCGGGATCATAGCTGCTCACTGCTGAGGAGTGTTATACTAGAACGAAACGACCGCCTACTGCTTTCAGGTTTCCAATGATGGTCAAATATTGATCAGTTCATGATCTGTTATGTCCCGACAAGAATAATGAATGATAACTTTTGGGATTTATTGATGGACCAATACTAAACGTATACTTTTATTTTATAACTATTAAGTAACTATTCCTCTTATTATGAGCTTTATTTTGACCCATAAACTATTATTATACGTGTTACCACTTTTGAGTTATACCCAGTATATTAATTACTATCTCCCTTATTCACAGCCACATCTAGCTAATTCTTTTACAAATGTTGTTTCATATTTTATCGGTACGTTGTGGTCCGTTTGATTGGTATATAAACTCAGTATGTTTGAAATATATTGATTCATATCGCAGAGGCTCGGATTGGTGTTCTGGACTTAACTGGCTGGGCTAGGCGGAAAGCAGGACCAGTCAGGACTCTAGGCTGCTCGCACGTGTTTTATGCGTCCTTGGTCCAATTGATAATTCGCTGCTCTCTAATTGGCGGTCACAAGTTATAACATGATCACAACAATAAGATGAATTTGCATTGTTGAATGAGAAAACAACTGAACAATCTCAGACAATTACCTTTTATTAATAAACTTTTATGATATGAAAAAAAAAACAAATACTGTAGTGAGATGGAGTGGGATTCTTTTCATTTAGGCCACACTAAATCTTTCACACATTGATTTGTGTAAATAAATAAAACATGTTTTACAAATGTAATCTTCCCGATTACTCTTGCTACCTCTACCACTACGGGATTTGAATAGACAACTGCATCTCTGTGCTAATGTGGTGTGGCAACTCGAACTGATGTACATATGTACGAAGTTCTACGTTGTTACTGACTGACTGACTGAATGTAATTTAGTGCATAACGTTGCATAAAGTCATTTAGTTGGTTCACTAATTACGATTACTTTTTATACTCACTTGAGTTGAACTTATAATTGAACGAGTGTGTGTGGGGGGAGAGAGATGATGATGTCATAATTGAATACAAGAAATAGGTGTAAATTATTATAATTACAGGAGAACTAATGAGAAATGTAAGAGTAATTATCAAATAAACACGGCTAGAACTAACCTTTGCATTAACAATTCGGCAACGACATCACTTGATGGTTGGTCACCAACAACTCCTTCACTGGAACTAGTACCTTTGCAATAATGACCGCGATGATGATAATGATGATGAACACGATAATGATGATTATGATATTCCGGTAGACAGGAATAAGATTTATTCACAAATTCATTTTTATGGCTCGCTAAAGCTGATGGTTGCAAATGGGACTGTGGATTGCCAGGACAGGTTAACGGTGAAATTGATGAATTATGGGACGATAATGATAATGGTACAGATAATGAAGATGATGAGGACGATAACGATAATGATGGCCAAGAGGATTGTGATGAAATACTATTAACTGCTGGTGCAGAAATATGTCGTTTCCTTTCTAGTTCTAAACAGGTTAAACAGCAATGACTTCTAGATGTATGTTTTGTAAATGAATCCGGTTGTTCATTACAACGGAATAAATGTTTGTAATTATGATCGTTATTATTAACATTATTTTTAGTATTATTATTACTTATATTATTGTGATGACTTCGTATAGAACCATTCATATGATTAAGTTGATTGTGCAATAATAATTCGGACCCATTGAAAAAGCGACAATTGTCAATTTTATCCAAACAAGAATAAATCCCATGATTCGACGAGGATGAGGTGGATGACATTATTGGATACTTTGTTGGTTGTTGTTGATGATGGTGGTAGTGATGATGATGATGTGGTGGCGGTGGAATAGAATAAAGGTGTTCTTGTCCAAGATGCAGTGTGGACGACAGTGGTGGTCCAAGGAGCGGTTGTTTATACTGTAATCGATTTCGGTTTAAATTAAAACAATTATTTCCATTCACTGATAATGAGTACTGATTACTACTACAACCATGAGTAATATTAGTTGCACTTATTGCATGAATGAAATTTGAAGATGCTGCAATAGACAGTGGAGAAGTTGTTGTAGCTACTGTTTTAGCTGATGAATTACAACACGATGATAATGTCATATTCATTACAGAACAACAATTTGGATTCAGTGATGAAATGCATGAGGAAGGTATAAAAATACTATCGTTATTATGCACTGTAGAAGTATTAATAAATTCATGTGTAGATTGACGTGTAAAATCCATGCTTCCTAATGAGTTTACGACAGGTTGATAATATGAATATTGAGAACAAGTATGTGACGATGGTTCTGTATTCGGTCGACAATTTGTATTATTATTATTATTGAAATGATCATTACCATTTCTTTGTTCATGATATTGATGACGATTAGGGTAATATGATGAACTTGACGGTGGAATGTCTAAATTTAAAATAAACGTATTAAACATGAAACTTAATTTATAAAACTTATGGTAATATGTTTTATGTTATATCTTAGAGCTAGGGACTTTATTAGGTGTATAGTTATTTTCCCGTTACAAACGATTAAGATTGCATTTTGCAAGAACGTGAACCCATCTCAACACGAAAGTATGGCTACTGATTGAAACATAAACACGATGAAACCCAGGAAGAGAATAGGAGTGCAGAAAAATATTGCTATTCAAGAACTTAAGAAAACAAAATTGAAGTAGTACTCCATAAATACAGTAAAAACAAACAAGACCTTGAGAAATATGGGAAAATTAACAGTGTAAAAGTGATAACAACCAACTAGAAAACGGCAAAGATCGTGAAGAAAAGAAGACTAGAAAAAGTGTTATGGTAATAGTTACAATGCGGTGTATGCTATTTATGTCGACAGATATAAGTAATATGTAACACCAATTAGAAAGGGAATGAATGGCAGCAGAAGGCAATGAAGGTCGACTTAAAAAAAAAAAAAGAAACGGAAATAGAAAGGAATTGTGACTGATGCAGAATGTGAAGAACAAATGATGAGAGATCTGCAAATGAAGTATTCTTATATTTTACCAGGAGATTCTGTAGTTTTGTACTAAACAATAAATTGGGCGCCCAGACCTGTGTTCTTATTCACAACAACAGGATAGAAGTTTAAATATAATCACTTGATGTACCGCTAGTAGTACACATATACATAAAGAACAAATTAACCCAAAAAAGGTATGTGACAATTTTGAAAATCAGGATCTAACGGTAAACGAAGAGTGAATGTATCTGTTTCACTGAAAACGAATGTGAGTTAATGTTATCTAATGTCTACAGCCACTGGTTACGTAAATAGCACCATAATGGTAGTCCGTATCGACCAAAATGATTCAGACTAATAGTTATTGACATCATAAGCTGATGCTAAGCCTTGATTTGAGTGCCTTTTGCGTCGTGATAACCACTATCAATGGCTGGAAACGTTGAATGGAATAGCTTAAAATCGCTTACAGGGGTTACAGATGTATTCACTTTTCGTCATGTGCTAAATCTTAATCTTCAAAATTATTTTGTACTTTTCATTCCTCAATTTCATCCTTTCTATCTGGACTGTATTCTGAAATGTTTAATATTTCACATTGTAGTTGATATTACTAGTAATTCGTCTTGTTTGGTACTCATCACGTTAATTTCATCATGTTGTGCTAGTATAGTATGAGAATTTGGCTAACCGAATTTTACACTATACTCTACGTTGAACTATATGCATCCAACAGATATAGATCTATGTAGCAGTCACTTCTAATGTATTCGACTATTATTATTATTAAAACTCTGAACGGATTTATTTAAATTTACTTAGTTTATTTATGTTTTCCAGCATAATACAATCAATCCAATGGAACAATGTGTGTATATGCGCGCACACTATGAGTTGAGGTTATTCGGAACATTTTCAATACTCAATAAATGTATGTTGAATTTAGTACAGTTTGTTTCCACTTCATTTAAACAATGATGGATGTATATTGGAATGTAAATTTCACTACAAGTGTCTGTAATTATTTGATTTAGTGTAGCAAAGACAAAATGTTGGACAGAAGGCAGAATTAACCAAGACTCTTGTTGTCTGATATCGAGCATTAGTAAGAGTGATTACTAGAAAGCTGTAATAGATAAAGGAGAGCAGAAAAAGAAAAATAATGTATTTAAGAGTGTGAAAATTATTTGATCTACCCGCTGTCCTCATACCTCTACGACCAATCAGCAACATAGTTCTAGGTGTCAAAGATTTTTTTATTTGATTTTTATCGCATGATGTATAGTTATTTCCGGTTAGCATAGCAAGATGAACACTGGATTCATAGAAGCAGTTAATTCAGTGGTGTACACCTACGCCATTGTGATCGATTCTGAGCCATTTCATTCAAAGTCTCCAACCACTGATTATGATGGTGACGCGGACCCCAACCGAGTAATCTGCATCTACTATGATGGTTCAGACCAGAAGTTAGTGACTTCAAGCACTGATCCCACGTTGTGGTTTGGCCACCCCTAACTTTATTCCAACCATCTCCTACACTAGTCAGCACTACGCGTCGTCGTAATTAGTGTTCTGGCATACGCAACACGTGGCTCAACCATCTCAGTTGATGAAGATTCACGTCATCGACTAATTTATCATTATTCCCTAATACCTTGTGTCTACCCTCACTATTACGGATATTTCGCCTTCACCATAGGTGACATAAGTTGACAAAAGCCAAACGAGCTTTTCGAATCCATGCTAAGTTTCCATCAGACACTAACCTATTAGTGCTGGTTACACTTCCAAGATAAATGAAGTTGTCAACGCGGTTCGACTGTTTCATTCCCTAAAACGATCAAACGGAGTTTTGTGGTAAAAAGAAAAAGTGTGGCGAGAAAAAAAACTCATTCCTTTTCTTCAAAATAAACAATTTTTCAGAAATAATGTAAATAGTTTTCTCTTGCTCTCTCTCTCTCTCTCCTTTTTTGCTTATCATTATTATCATTGGGATTCATTCAGAACAATTATAAAATCGAACTGAACTACTCTATGAAATGAACAGATGCTCTGATGTTAGTAAATAATCTTTTATTTATTTTTTTTTGAAAAAAGGAAACGGGGAGTAAGTCAAATGCGAATAGAAACTATTCATCCTCGTGTATTCTATTCATCACTATGAGTACATAATGATGACATAATGTCAATTTTTTTTTAATTTCAAAAGATAACTGTGTATAATTAAAATTATTCGTTAAAACATGCATTGAAGTCTCTCTCCCCCCCCCTACTGAAAAAACAACATTCTAAGAAATGGTTAAGAATTGATCAGTAGACAGTCTAAGCGAATTTATATATGGAAGAACGATGCATTGGGTAAACATTAAACATCAATTGAAAAATACCCATTTTAATATGAAAATCTCGACATGAATGCTAAGAAAAACAAAAACGTTACGCGAGTATTGAAATGAGATCCCAATTGTTTTTACTGGTAAAGCGCTCGTGAACGAGACTGATAGGTCCTGGATTCGAATATCGTGAGGCGAGATCGTGGATAAGCACTGCTGAGGAATCCCACAGTAGGACCAAACGGCCATACAATGCTTCCAGGTTTTACATGGTGGTCTAGCTTCAATTGATTCATGATCTAAACTATTAAAATTACTATAATATCCACAAAATCCCTGTTTAGAGTGGGAATTGTGTGCAAACTGATAAGCATTTGGTCACAAATATTCTCAAAGCATTGCTTGTATGTAAGAATCAAAATACAGAGTGATTAAATTAAAAAGTTCCACGTCAGTAAATCAATAAAATTGAAATATGATTTACACCTAAAATCATTTGGTTAACATACAAAATGCTCCAATTATAAAGTTAATGCACAATAGAGTTAATTTTCACTCCAAAAACCATGAGTTGGACACAAATGTGTTATTTGAGCAAGCATAAAGTTGATGAGTTATTTATCACACTACTATTCTTGAGATAAGAGAGGGTTAGTGGAAATCGATAGAAAACGTTGAAAATAGGTTTCACGTTAGTCAGCAACCGAAAGTAATGTGTACATTTAGTCTTAAGAAAACAGATGGATTCTAGTGGGATTCGGATTCATGACACTCAGTAATACGTTTTTAGGCACTAAAGCTGAACTATTCAGACCATAAATGACCTTGTATTAGACCTTTAGTCCTGATTATGATGAAATTAATAAGATAAGTAACATAAGAATCGAAATAATGGAAGTACCAAAACTACAGTTCAAAATGGAGAAATCATATTAAGGAGTAAAAAGCAGAAAATAATTTTGAAGCTCAAAATTCAACGGGACAGAAAAACGGAATGTATTTGTACTACTATAATTAATTCTGACCTATGTCATCTAACGATTCCAATTAGTGATTGTAATTAATTATGAAGTGGACCCTAATATAGTAGTCAACAAAAACTAATACGACTTAGAACAACAATCAACAACTTCATGCACTAATATCATGTATTGATTTCCTCACTCTAAATCATACATTTTCCAGGCTCTTACAGTGTGTGAATAGTACATATTCATCCCTTGGTATAATCATACAAGTATCAAAAGTCTAGTCGATAGATATATCATAATCTGACAAATTATACAACTTACAAATGAGAATAAGTAACAAAACATCCATTTACAACAATTCACATGTTTCATGTTTCAAATCAGAACAATCAAACACTTATTTCAGAGTACCATTAGATCATACATGTCTACTTATACAGAAATTTATTCAGATAAATCACATATTAAAAGTAATGAAAAAAAGGTAACAGATGTATAAGACCGAATAAGTAGTATAAATTATCGAATTACACTATACTAACAGTACAATTAACTCACTTAATTGTAATGACTGAACTGATGATGATGATGTTGTTGTTGATGGTAAAAGACAAATATTTAATGGATTTTGATGTTGTTCAATATGATCAATCAATTGTTTCGGTTCTGAATGTTGTTTTTGTTGTTGTTGTTGTTGTACTTGATGATAAATATGATGTTGTGAATAACAAACGGTACAATTACCTTTCGATTCATATAATTTATCATGACAATTACTATTATTAAGTTGGTCATGCAATTGTTGATATTGATGATGATGATGTTGTTGTTGTTGACTATTCATTTGTTGTTGTTGTTGATAATGTTGATGTTTTGATAAATTTCTTTTCTGTGTTGTTATATTCAATAAACGATCATGATTTAATAATGTATGATTCATTGATGGAATCATAGAAATATCCGATGGTTTTATACTGTTATTATTAACATTGAATGAATCAATATGAGAAAACATTTTTCCTACAAAATTATTATTAGTATTAGTATTATCAGTAACAATTAGATTACCACTATTATTATTATACATTGAAGGAAATAATAATGAATCGGGAAAATTTCCCAAACCTAATCGATTAGCATCGAAACAACATATAGACGATGAAGACTTGTGAGAATTGTCGCATTCAACATTATTATTTATTGGACGATGTTGATGTTCAGCAATAAATAGATTTGAATCAACATTAATACAGTTGGTTATTGTTGTTATGTTTACCGATGACGATGAGATAGTAGTGGTAGTAGGTCCTCCACATTCTGTTGTTAATGTGTGCATAGACATATTCATTGGTGCAGGTGTAATTGGTGAATATTGACTGCTAATACCAAGTTGTGTTTGATAATTCGGTTCATTAATTAATTGTAAAGGTTGAGGTATTGGACGGTGAAAATTAGATTTATGAGCTTGTTTTCGTTGTTGTGTTGACCAAGAGGAGGATGACAGTGGTGGTGAAGATGACAGTGATGAAGAATTAAGTATAACTGATGATGAGACATGAGGAGGTTCGTTGTTGTTCAGTTTTAATAATGATGTCTAAAAAGTGAAAACAATAAGCATATCAATGACCATAAACTTCATGATCAATACTTGCTTGTATTTGATTTGTGTTAACAGAACAGGGTCTCAGTGCATACCTCGACCAAATCGGAACAATCTTATTAGTCCATCTTAAACCATAAAGCGTTATGGAACGAATCATGTAGATGCTAAGAGGTTCTCATGTAAATTCTGCATATATTCTAATATTCCTAATAATATATTTTTTATTTGGAATATTGCAGTATACACAGTTAGTTCCCAATGCCTATTATAATTCGAGAAAAGTCATATGAAGTATCGTGCTTAGGAAATTCTACACAGTAAAAAGAGAAGTTGACATCATATCAGAACAATACAACCGTGTAACATTTTCATGACTGAATAATAGTATTATATTGACTAGCAACATTCATTGCCGGTTTACGATTTCATTCACAGGAAGTCTAGACGATTCTTGACACGGTTTACGTAACCTTAACGGGTCAGAAGTACATTGTATCTATTACGATTATTGAACCACTGCTAGAACGTTGTTTAAATATATACAAAGTACACTTAAAAATTCATCGCGGTTCATTTCTAAATTTATTTGGACATATAAATATTGGTACAGGAGTGCACCGAATACATATGCGCCACACTTTTTCACTCGATTTCTGTGAGCGTTGAGATACTGCCCAGGTGCCCAAGGCAGTGGAGCAACGTCAGCAGATGCAGTTTCATGGTACCCGGTGATCAACAGTTGGTTAATACGCCATTTGTTCCTTTAGTATCCTGGAGCCCATGTGCACCATTGGTTTTGGATCAGGGTTTTCTAACTTCTCAGATGGAGTTTCCATCAACTTGGTTAAAGCGCCGGATATTCGCTTTTCGTTCTCTCAATTTCGCAAACAACAATCCCGCCACGAGAATGTAATGAGTAGGTCTTCCCTTGCAGTGGTTGTATGAACGTGCCCATGTGAGAGGGTTTCGAGAGGCAAAGTTGACTCTCCCTACCCTCGACATTACTAGGGCATTTGGGAAAGATTTTCATCTTGGAATTTTATAACTAAATAGTTAAAAATGATCAGAAATATCAATTAAGAAAGAATTTTAAGGCATCAATTCATAAATAAAAAATGACAACAGATAAAATAGAGAATTTCAACTTACTAAATGAATATTTGGTGGCATAATATTACTATCATTATTAATATTAGTAGTATGTATCATATGTTTTTCATCAAAAAAAGCAGCAGTACTTGTAGTGTTCTTTAATTGAAAATTTGCTAACACATTTAAATTATTATTATCATTATTCGATGATTGGACATGTTCGATAGATAGCCATTTCTGGTCAAATATATGCATATCTATTGGACACTGTACATTAGTATCATTATTACTACTTGCATGGTTTGAAATAGGATGCCACCAATCATCATTATTCATTAAACCCAATAATTCAGATCTCTGTGATGAAGAATTGAGAAATTAATACTACAAGTAGTAGTGATTGCATTAGATAAACAATTAATTGATGATGGTAAACATGTATGTTTTATTGATGGCGTTGTACCCTGGTCTGTTATTAACATGATGCTTCAGACAGAAACGATGTGCTTATTGTCAGAGGAAACTCTTCATTTCGTGATAATAATGAACAACTGCTATTCGATATGGTTGTTGATACTGGTGTGGTAGTTTTTTCCAATGAGGTTGAAGAAAATGCTGAACCGAATTTTAACATAGATAATTCATCAACTGGTACATGACGACGATTTTTAATACTGTCATTATCAGTAATAGTATTATTAGTAATATGAGTATCTTTTTTAATAATATCAACAATATGATCAAATTCTGACGAATTTATGCGAAACAGTTGTTGTTGTCCTGATGTATGATCATCATGTTGTGATAACCATAAGCTATCATAAATAGATGTTGAAGATGCTGATGTTGACAGAGGCTGATGAGGTTGACAATGATGACAACTAACCACAGTATTTGATAAAGCCTCATTTTGATGATCAAATGTTAACTGTGACTTTTGCTGTTGACTTAACATATTAGGGCTATTACAACAATGATCAATTAATGAAGTGTTATAGGATGATTCTAATATTTGTTTGTTAAGTGGATATGACCAAGTATTATTATCATTATTAATATTGCTATTCATCGGATGATGACGATGATCATGACTATTAGACAACTGCATTTTCAAATCTGGAGTATTCGATGATGCATTAACCAAGTCAAATAGAGCGGAACTAGGTGAATTGACATTTTTAATGGAATTATTCGATGTTACTGTTGTATTAGTAGCTCTTGTTGTCGACAGATCGGTCGAAGTGGAAGGATTTGAAGAAGCAGCTGTAGTCATCACAAATGTAGTAGGCCTAGTATTTGTTCCAACAATACTTGATAAAACAGAGTCGTAACTATTTTGTGATGCCTATATTTATCAATAAATTAATAAACAAGATCGATATTATTAGTGTAAGGAGGATTTATAAAGATGGTTGAATTTCACTTTGCATTACGAACTGACCTTGGTTAGACAGCGATTGGAAATCATAAAGAAATGAACAGAAGTCCTGTAGTAGTGTAGCATCTCCTAGAAGTGTGCGATCACGACTTTTATGAGACCCGGATGTCATCAGTCCGATCAGTAGTAGCTCTCTGTGTGAATATTGTTGAAGGGTTCCATACTAGGACGAAACTAACTGAACTCGGTTAGCGACGTACATGATATAAAATATTAGCAAACAGCTGTCAAGTATTTTTTAAAAATCTACAGACCACCAGGTGTAATGTAAGAGGAAAAACTCAATAATGTTTAATCCGAACGAAATATTGAAAGAAGGAAGTTTAAATTTCTCGAATATAAATTTTCTTCAGAAGACAGAAAAATTAGAAAAAGATTGGCCTCAAGCAATTGTCCGTTGGACATTCTGTTCAATATTGGTTACTGAAACGAAAGCTACAAATAGTTTCAATAATTAAGGTGAAACTCGGACATATTTGTTAGTAAACTCCCACCATAAACTGATTTCCATTTATGGTGAAACACATATTCGTCAAGAACGAACCCCAAAAAATAACGATTATATGCTCACTGGTAACTATTATGACGACAGATTTGTGAAGATCAAACAGGAAGTCGTCAATATAAAGTTCATCATTAGAGAGTGAGATAGTATATCATAAATGTTAACACATTTACTAAATACAGATTCGTGTACATAACTTCGACTCATCTGAAATTTGAGGCCCCACATATGACTAGGTGAAATTCTACTGGGCCACTGCGCTTTCTACAAAACTTCAGGAATTACCTCAAGAAATTAGTCTCCGGTGCGGATATATTAACTACTAATGTAAGAAGTATGCGAAGATTGTCTAGTACTTCGTGGTTATAGAGGTCAGCTCGCGATGTAGACTATGGTGATGTATGGTGCGATGTTCCAGACAGATTGGTTGGTAAGGCTTTTTTTGAGAGAGCATATGTAAGTCCTTCTGGAACGAATTCTGAGTTTTCAAGACCCACAAACTCACCGCGTAGATGTGGTTTCGTGGGGTAACTGCGGTCCAGCAGATCTTTGCGTGTATTTCGGTATCGTAGGAAGAGCAAGTGAAGGATATTTGGAGATTTCAATTACCCTGGATAGATATAGTCTACATGCATACTAAGTAACGCACGGACTTTCATCCAAGTATCCTTTGATATAATACAAGTATACCTACCCTGTGAGCAAATATATGTTACAGGCACACAGGTTTTATCCCACTCATCCTATAGCAAACATATAGGTATATTCACCCACTTCGGAGGGTAGATGTTCACCACTCCTTAGAATCGTATGTACCACACAGACTCTCTTACACATTACACACATACCATTCAGCCCATGTTTACCGCTGTTAAAAACTTTTTCTTACGGTTACGACCCAGCTATTCCTATTGCTTAGTATTCTCGGACACCAATTCACTCGATAAGTCCCCAAATCAGAATACGGTTGGACAGGAAAGAGATTATATTCCAAATAACAAGGTTAGATGGAAGTAAGAAGCACAATAGGGAAAACGATAGTAATATTTATAGTTTTTACATGAGATTCTAGAGTATTCTCCAAATATCGACTAGTGCTGATTGGATAAGAATTAGCTAACCAGCGTGCACCAAAGTAATCGTGCATTGAGCATGCTTCAATCCCGTCTATGTCCCGCTAACAACCGCCCAAGTACTTCCTGGCACACATATAAGCATAATCATTCCCACAGAAAAGGTATTTGGTGGCCTCTCCTTAGTAATTGCTACCATATGTTCTGATTATGTATTAGACCTGATAGATTAAGCCATTGATTTTACTAGACATGGGGTCGACAAGATTTCAGCTAACGTTTCCTTTGCACACCGTTTGCATATACCTACATACTTGGACTACGAAGGCCCGAGGACTTCTGCATTTCTTATACATGAGCAGAATATCAGGTGGCCACGTGTGATTAAGAGAGCCTCGAGCAGAACCCGAGTTGATCAAGGATACAACAGAGTGGGTGATCAGTTCGATCTCCGTTGACCGCCTAAGTTGGCTAGCAAGGTTGCCCCTATCATTCAGCAGCGCCGCGAGGAGGCCTTAGGTCAGATTTTGCTGTTAGCTCTAAACTATACAATCTTTCATTTACTATTAATGCTGCCACAATATTAGATTTTATATCGCTACCACTGATCAGTTAACCATCAAATTAATTAGTACCAACAAAAATATACTTACTGTAAATCCCTTTGGATGAGATTTTAAACTGAACGACTTCAAAGAGTCTATATCACTAGATGTTGAATAGCCTTTTTTCTTGGAATCTGAAACATTGTTATTTTTCTTGATATGACCAGAGCTTGTTTGAAATAAATTAAAATGTATTGCTTTATTACTTTCTTGATTATCATTACTACTGCTACCAATGGTAGTAGTAGCAGTATAGGTTTGATTTGATTGTGATGTCGTTGTTACTGTTGTCGTTGTCGTGGTGGTGGAGGTGTTATTCCCTCCAATCAAACCAGCCGGTCCATAACCACCATGTAATCGCATATGACCATTTAGAGCAGATTGATTTTTAAAACGTTTTGCACAGATAGCACATGCTACACGTTTTGGTTCTTCTAATGGATGTGCCATAAGTAAAGCAACTTTGGCAGCATTTGCTACTTCAATTGGATTCAAGGAAAAATTATTAATTGTTACAGTATTTGTATGATGATTAATGCTGGCATCATTAGTAAATAATGTTTTATTAAAAATTGTATTTGTTATGGTTGATGTCAGTGTTCCAGTTGTTGTTGATATTGTTGTTGTGGTGGTGGTGTCCGATAACTCATCAGTGATTACATTTATTGCATTCTCACTTTCCATATTGATATCCATCATATTATCATTATTATTATTTGGAGAGATTGGTTTAGAGGAAGGATTCGGTGAACGACAGACAAATCGTGATGGCGGCGATGATGATAACGAACGACTGGACGTAGAGATTTTTCGCTAGCATTTTGACTAGTCGATGATATTGACTGTTTTGATGACTTGGCACCATCTGTTCAATATGCAAACACATATAAATAAACACATGAATGAATATAGGAAAATTGAAAAAAACAACAACTGTGAATACTTTTAACAATACAATTAGTTGCATAGTTCAGTGCTTGCTTGTAATTATTTTTTCGTAGGAAAGGCAGTTGTGACTGACTAATAATTCAAATAGTAAACATTAAAGAGTATAATTTCACTTTATAATGGATAGATAATTTTCTCAATCAGGTTTAATACTTAAATCGTGTATGATCAATATTTGCTGATAGATGTGCATCCTGAATGGCATGCCTTGATGTAGCCAAGGTTTAGAGCATATGAATTGCGAATAATAGTGAAATCCATGACAGGTATTTTGTACTATTTCAAACTCCTCTAATTCTTGAGAAACCAAATAAATTTAAAATTTGAAATATTCTCATATTGTAAATTTAGAACAACATAGATATAAGCGAACAATATTGTTTTCGATTAGATCCTCATCAGGCTTAAGAAATAAAATAAACCAACTCGATACAGATGTACAGTTTGAAAATCGATTTAAACAAACAACAGATTTGATGCCTACTTCTCCCGATGAACTTACTAGGTTTAAGACTACGTTGTTGGACGTCTGCCAACAATACACAAATAGTAAAAGTACAGTGAAAACTCCACTTACCAGACAGCAACGGAATGCTTTACATATGTTTATAAAAGACAACACTCTAATCATAAGCAAGCCAAACAAAGAAGGAGGGCTAGTTCTTATGAACAAAGCCGATTACATTAATAAAATGAACTCGATTTTGAATGATCCGACAGAATTTCAGAAACTCAACGACGTGAAGGACTTAAATATGAAGGCAGAAAAATTGCTGACTAACTCACTAAATGAATTTTTAAAAAATAAAGGTATACTTACTCCTGACATACACGATTCACTCAAACCCACTGGATCGAACACATCGCGACTATATGGTTTACCTAAAGCTCACAAGACAGGTCTTCCTCTTCGCCCAGTTTTAGATATGTATAATTCACCATATCATAAAACTCCAAGGTGGCTAGTTCGAATCCTAAATCCCTTACACAAACTAGTCGTCAACAGAAGCATGAAAGACGTCTTCGATTTCATTTCTAAAGTGGAACATATGAACGTAAATAGGAAACGCACGATATTTTTAGATGTTGCTTCCCTGTTAACCAATGTACCGTTAACGGAGACTATTGATTTTGTGTGCCAACAACTACAGGAAAAACAAATCAATATTAGAATTCCTGAGGTTAGTCTTAAAGAATTACTTTTGAAATGAATGTCCATTTTGTCTTTAATAACACATATTATAGACAAATTGATGGTATAGCGATGGGTTCGCCTCTAGGTCCCATCCTTGAGGATTTTTTTTGGCGAGACTAGAAAACAGACCTCTCAAAGAGGTTATCAATAAGCTTGATTTCTACTGTCGTTACGTTGATGACACTTTCATCATTGCTGACCAGAACATTAGAAAAGAACAACTACTAGAACTATTTAATAACAAACATCCTGCAATTAAATTTACATATGAAGAGGAAATAGATAATAAACTACATTCCCCTGACGTTTTGTTAAGTAGAAAAGAAAATGACACAAAGTATTAGGGAATGATGATAAATTAGTTGATGAGGTTGTAAATCTTCATCGACTAAGATGGTTGGACCACGTGTTACGTATACCTGAACACCGATTACCACGACGCGCAATGATCACTAGTATTGGAGACGGCTGGAAGAAAGTTAAGGGCGATCAAACCACAACATGTAGTCAGTCCTTGAAGTCACTAAATTCTAGTCTTAGCCATGTTAGTAGATGCAGACTATTTGGTTGGAGTCCGAGTGACTATCGTAACCAATGGTTGTAGACTGTGTGTGACATGGCTCAGAATCGATCACAATGGTGTAGGTGTATACACTCTTTGTCCTCCCTTAAATTGTGAGATTAAATTCACTTTATAGCTTCCTCCCAACTAATTCTTTCTCCCTGTTCTATATCCTTATATGCAATCTTTCTTTTATTTATTATTACCACTGAATTAACTAATTCTATGAATTTGGTGTTTATGTTGTTGTGCTAATAAGGTATGACAACTTCTACAGATGCATATATGTGTTTGGTCATACGTTGTAACTGACTGACTGAGACACTGTCTTAAGTCGAACCAAGGAACTTTTCGAATTTGATCAACTTTCAATGTTAAAAGATGAACATTACATTCTATTTGATGGTATTCGTTTCACTCTTAACATATACTAGTAATTTGTTTGCATTACAAAACGTGAAAATATTTTGATTACCTACCTTCTAGATTAAGGCATTATTTAAAACAATATGAAATAATAACTTCTAATTTGAAATGATTATGTTGGTTGATATGATGAAAACTTTACGATTAAACATAAGATCATATTGATTTATTATATAAAATTGATTTGATCGGTGCTGGATGATAAGATTATACAATGTCTATAGAAGACTATAGTATTATTAAATGAACAGGAAAACATGCAAAGAGCGGTGGTGGGTAGTGGAAACTTAATTTCTTACTGCTTCATTAGATGAAATCAATGTTTTTTTTGTCTGTGATGATCGTATCAACAAAGTTAGTTCAGCTATTTTACTGAATAAGCTTTAATCATTAAGTTACTAATAGTCCTCCCGTTCCAGATAAAATGAATTGGTGAAACCTAGTAAGCTTTTATGGAGAAGTGGCTACATCGAAGTACGGCACAGCTACCGAGGTGGGATAGCTATTTTTGCAGTTAAAGCTGTGCTATTTTTCTTTATAGCACTAGTAATGGTTTATGGGTATCGGTCGAGTAGTAGATTAGTCTGATCTCTACCACCCAGTTTACCGCTCACGTTAATTCATGGGACAAGTCCCACTATCCATAGGCAAGACGAGAACGTGTGAGTTGGATTTTACATATAGGTACCTTCATGCAAAAACACTTTTCTTTAAAAAAACACTGCAATTTAATTTAAATATTGTACATTAAAATGTGTATATTCCCTACCGTCTTGCTAATTTTAGTAGTGTTTTTGTTTTAGAAAAAAAAGTATAATTTTATTCCGATTAGATCACCATTTATAAATTCTTATTTGTTTATTTATTTCTATTCATATTGTTTAAATTAAACTGTTTGACAGTGTAAAGTTGTGGATATTATTATATTTTCGAGGTCATGAACAGATTGATGTTAGACCACCATTGAAAACCTGAAAGCACTGGACGGCCGTTTCGTTCTATTGTGGGACTCCTTAGTGGCGGTGAGCATCCACGATTCCACCTGCAGGATTCAAACCCAGGGCTTTCAGTCTTGCGCGCGAACGCCTAACAGTTGGATGCCAGCTGTGGTCTAGAGGTTAAACGTTTGCGCGTTAAACCGAAGGCCCTGAGCTTGAATCCCGCGGGTGTGGCCGTGGATGCTCACGACCACTGAGAAGTCTCACAATAGGACGAAACGGCCGTCCAGTGCTTTCAGGTTTTCAATGGTGGTCTAGCATCAATCGGTTCATGATCTCAATCATAAACTATTTAATATTCAGTGATATTTTGTAAATAATTGATTAAATATTTCCTTGTTCAAATTGTAAGCTTTTGTTTGATTCATTGCTGAAAAAAAGTGATCTTGACTAGACCACCATTTAAAACTTAGAAGAAATGGATGGCTATTACATTCTAGAATGAAACTTAACAACAGTGAGCGTCCACAATCCCGCACACACGGGAATCAAACCACAGATTTTAGGTCCCATGAGAACAATTAACCTCTAGACTAGCGGTGTTAATGTTTAACATCAATGAATTCATGATCTTGCGTAACTTTACATCGACCCCAAATGCCCTGGTACGGTCGCGGGTGAGGAGAGTTAGATCTACCTCCCCAAATGCTCTCGCATGGTCACACATATACAGCCACCGCCAGCAAAGTCCTACTCACTGCATTCTCGTGGTATTACTGTTGTTTACGAAATTGAGATGGTGAAAAGCGAATGTTCGGCACTTTAACCGGGTGGGTGGGCGCGGAGAGTCTACCTAGGGAAGTTGGAAAACTCTGATTCCAAAGCAATCGTGCACATCAGCTCCAGTATCCTGAAGGAATATGAACCAATTGTTGATCACCGGCTACCATGAGACTGCATCTGCTGACATTGTTCCACTGCCTTGTGGATCAGATTTTCAGGTCAAAGGTTCCGGGTGTGACCCCCTAAGTAGACTACCTGCTTAGGTTTGGGCACTCGAAGGGTATCACAGCTCACATACAAATCAAGTGACTTGTGTGGCGAATATGTATTCGGTGCTCATTTGTGTCCATATTTATGTGTTCAAATAAATAAAAAAGATAAATTCTTATCAACTGCCAGCAGTGGATAGTCCACACTGAATGAACTCCATTAATCACGGCTTCTCACAAGAAGAATTGGGCAAGATCATATATATTTAACTGCTCATAAATTGCTGTAGTCGTGTAGTTTATGGTCATTAATCACATACATTTTCTAGTTTGAGATAGAGAGACTAGTTAGAAGTACTTATTAGTTCAATAACGAAAGGATAAATAAAAATCGAGTACACGGTTTTCAAACAATCTTTGAATGAAATTAAATATGAATGAGTTCTATTTCAAGTTATATAAAAAAAAACCGGTGAAAAAAATACCACTACTTTGTTTTGTTGTCAGTTGCTTATTTCTTTGTATGTACAGTTGATGAACCAATGAGTTTCTATTTCAACAAACTTCTCTCATACTAAATCCTAGAACAAATCACTTTGTCAGAGAATAACTGAATTCTATCAGCAATTCAATTCCTAGGGATCTCCGAAGAAGGTGGTAAACAGCCTTTATACTTATGGTAACACTCAAGATCAATTGATTGACTGATAAGTAAGATACCCTCTTGCCATATCGAGCAAACACATAAACAACAATGTAGAGCAAATAGTACATACATGAATAAAAGTCAAATCACAATAGTGA